AGTGATAGCTACAGGAAAAGCTGGACATTTGCACACAGCCTAGGTCACCTGTACTTTTGGGCAGAGGAGGCGGGAGGTGACATGCTGCCTCTGCCTCTGCCTCCCTCACACCCAGCTCCTGCCTTTGCAGTGTTGGTTCTGGTCTCCTCTCAGTTTTCTCGGGACTCAATCCTGGCTCAAGGCATAACACCAGGACCACCTGTTACTCATTTATTATTGCTGCAATTGAACAAACACAATCCTGAGGATGTGGTGGTGGTTTAATGCTTGTTTTCCAGTTGACTGATGAAAGGCTTTTAAGGTTAACCAAATTTGAATGAGTTTCCCTTTCCTTTGTTGGCAAGAGGAGGCTTAAAAGTCTGAGCAGGTAAACACAGTTCACAGTTTAGTTTTCTGTTACCCGCTCTGTCTAGCAGTGCTGACCTCTGTGGAACTCTCAGAGCTTGAGTTGTGCTGTCAGTAAATTGCAGCCAAAGGGGGCTTTCAGGACTTTGAGGCTGTGTTCATTTGATTGTGCGTGGTTGAATGCATATATTTAGACAAACCCCCCCCCCCCCCCGGAAAAGTGCTTGCAAAGTGACAGTCCTGTGCTTCAGGGAATGCCTCAATCATTGTTGCCTGTTCCAGTGTCTCACTGCTGTTCCATTTTTGCTTTCATCTTTAATATGGAAATCATTGGTGATCACATGACCCTCTTTGTTTTTCATTCATTTGGGTGGTCCCTGCAGTTCTTTGATAGCTAATTCAGGAGTATGCTTGCAAATTAAAAACAAAATTACTTAGGAGCCTGAGGTTTGAAATAGATATCCCATAAGGTTCTAAAACAATTTTATTTAAACTCAGACCTCTCATATCACCTGTGTTTACTTAATAATTTATGTTACTTTTCTTCCAGCAATAGGCATTTCATTGATTTTGTCTTTTTCTTAGCTTTTGTATAAGAATAGTGATATATTAAGCTAAAATAACAAAGAGTGACTTTGCCCATGTAAGATAAACACAGGTAAGTCTTCATCTTCAGAGAGTGTTTTATTGGCAAATTATTTTGAAAACAGTTTTCTTGATTAACCAGTGAGCCCCATTGTACCTTGAAGCCCGTGTTTCTTCTTAAAGTGTAAGGGGATTAGAGAGAAATTGTTTTTGGTTTATTCAGGGGAAAAAAAACCAGTTTTTTTACACCTGGGCCCTGATTGAAATGTAAGTCAGTGTGGATTTTGAATTTTATTGCATTAATCTAGTATTATTGTTGTGGAGTTACTGAGAAAATATTCTAGTAATTTGAGAGAGAAGATGTCAGAATATTATGTTATATCCTGTATTCAGTTTATGGTATACATTACATATTGATAATTTGAAGAGCTCATGGAATTCAGAAATTTGAGACTCATCAAATTATACTTTAAACATGTGGATTTTTTGTGTATCTGTTATATCTCAATAAAACTGTTATTTAATAAGAAAGGGCAGAGACAAATGTTAGACTCCCCTTGACCTTGTGCATCTTCTGTCAGAGTACCTGGCTCCTGTCTGGCCACTCTGCTTCCCACTCGGCTTCCCTCTGATGTGTATGCAGGAGCAGCAAAGTGATGCCTCAGGTAGTGATTGTATTCCTGTACCCATGTATGTGCCGGTGGAGTTGCTGGCTTCAGTGGCTTTGGCCTGGCCATCCTTGGCTGTTAGTAGACATTCAGGGAGTGGACGAGCAGTTCAGCAGGATCTCTTTCTCTCCTTGTGCCTTTCAAATAAAAGTTAAAACAATTTCATTAAAAATAATAAAATAAAGAGAAAGGGCCTACTAGCATTGTACAGTTCTGCAAGAAATTACTACACATGGGACTTCTTCAGATGACAGAAATGTATTCTTGCATAGGTTCTGGTTCCCTGAAATCTAAAATTATGGTATAATTAGGGCCACTTTCCCTCTGAAATCTGAAGGGAGAGAATGCTTTGTTTCGAGGCTTTTGCCTGAGGCAGCTTCACTCCGTCTCTGCCTATCTTCACATTGCTTTCTTCCCCAGTCTGTGTATCTCCTATCTCCTTTTGCATCCTTCTCAAAAGGATACTTGCCATTGGAATTAGGGCTCAGTGTAAATCCAGGTAGGTCTGCTTTGAGATCTTCAACTTAATTATATTTTGAAAGACCTTGTTTTCTAAATAGCTCTAAGTGGGGTATAATTTTTGGTCGAGGGCTACCACTCAACCCACCAGAGTAATCATAGGTAATAATTTGGGGTTTTCCCTGTATGCATCCATATATATATATATATATGAAATATTTTCATACCTATAGATGCATATGTCACACCAAGATTTGATGTTTGCAGTATTCTTTGTATAAAATTTGTATAAGCTATTAGTATAAAAGCTATTCATTGCTTCATTAAAATGTTTATTATCATTTTCATTAAAATGCTTATTTATTTTCATTAATGATATTAGATATCCTGAAAGTAGTTCCTATCACACGACTTCAGCAGCTGGGGCTGCACCAGACTGAGACCTGGTTTCTTACAAGGGTAAAAAAATTTGGGGGGGTTGTATTAGCAGGAAACCAGACTTGGAAATGGATCTGAAATTCAAACCCTGACACTCAAATATGGTATCCAGGTATCCCACCTTGGTTCCCATGCCTCCCTGCTTTTTATGTGTGCTGTATACCCTACGAGTCTTTGTCAACTTCCAGCCTTCAGCCCTGTTTCTTGAAAAGAGGAGTGTCTTGGGCCTGATACAATGGCTTAGTTGATTAATCCTCCCCATCAAGCTCCAGGATCCCATATGGGTGCTGGTTCATGTCCTGGCTGCTCCACTTCTAGTCCAGCTTCCTGCTTGTGGTATAGGAAAGCAGTTGAGGAGGGCCCAAAGGCTTAGCACCCTGCATCTGGCTTAGAGGTTAAAACTGCTGTCCTGTGCACCCCATATTGTTGCTGACTCAAGTACTGGCTGTTCCACTTCTGATCAGGCCTGTACTAATGCACTGGAGAACACAGTAGATGATGACCCACCACCTATTTTGGGAGACCTAAATGGAGTTCTAGGCTCCTGTCTGTGACTATCCTGAGAGTGAACTAGCTGATGGAAGTATCTCTCTCTCTCTCTCTCTGTGTTAACTATTTCAAATAAACCATGAATATTTGAAAAAAAAATGAGTGAAGTGCCACTGGCTGATTATTTTACAATGGAAGAACTGTCAAGCAGGACTCCAGAGGTCAGAAACAATGGCTTTCCCTATCAAGGCACCTCTGAGTTTGAACTGAAAGTGAAGGAGTGGTCAGGCAAAAAATGGGTCAGAATAGTAGTATGATAATTTATTGCATTTTAGTGGAATTAATATTATGTCTGGGATAATAGAGAGCTCTATATGAAGTATGTAGAACGTGCCAGCAATTTCAGATCTGGACATAAGATAGGTTAAGTTTTGGCTCTGTATTGAATGGGTGATGTGGTAGCAGGTAGCCTTTTGTAGCAGTCCTATGTGTGTAAATTTATTTGGTAGCAGACACGTGTTCTGTGCTTCTGGTGAAGGATGATGTGCTATAAAGAAGAAGAGTATTCTTGTGTTATGCACATGCCAGGGTGTTGCTGTACGTGAGGTTGCCTTCCGTAGCTTTTTGATGGATACATTAGGAAGCACTTAGTCACGTATCTTGTCGTTGTTGAATTATTCAACCCTACTGTCAAAGTGAGTGGCAAAATTTTGATAGGAAAAATGGAATTAATTTTAAAAGGTTTCAGACTAATGAAACTCAAGCTTGTGCTACATGAAGCAACATTTTCATGCTATTATGTGGTGGGCAAGCTTTTTTATTGAACCCCCTTTAATCTACAGATAGTGTGGTTTGAGGAACGTGTCAGTACTAGCTACCGCAACGTCTTTTGTTCTTGTTAAAAAAGACAGTACTGTTTCATTGAGTTATATGAAATATAATGTTGATCTAGGCTCTTAGTAATTATTTAAGAGAAACAAAACTTTGAATTAAATGAGAACACAGATGTTTGATTCACTGAGTTGAAATATTTGAATAGCTTTTAATTAGGAGTCTTGTGAAATTATTTATGATTGTAGAAGAAAATAGAATGCTGAAGTCAGTTCTTAAATATGAATTATTTCAAGTGTTTCCCTATAGGACAACTCTCAGAATGTAAGGCAAGAGAAAGTTTATCCCTCACAGTTGTCTTCCCAGATTTTGCCTGATTTTCAGGTTTAACATCCACTCAATATGCACCTGCTGGTTAGCAACACCAGTTGTAGAGGATATTTTAGTGGTTAGGGGATTTTTTTATATGTGTGAAATGTAAAAATACATTGAATCAGCTTTGATGATCTAGGTCCCTCACATATGCTTACAGTTTAACAGACAATTATGCAAAATTCTTGATAGAGGTTGAAATTTTATAGACAGTATTTTTATAGAAAATCCAAGAAATAAAGACTATCAGATTTTTTAAAGAATCATATGCTTTCTTTTTTTGGAAACTATATTTCAGAGAGCATTGATTAGTGTTAGTAAATTATACCACATTTTGCAAAATTGTTTTAGAGGGTTAGATGACTTTGACATAATAGGTTTGGGTCACCATTATGTTTTCTAAAGGTCTTTTTAATGCAGTTACAAGAGTTTTGTCAATTCTCATCTTTGCAGCAATAGAAGATAGGAGAGCAGTAGAAGGTAAAAATGAAGTTGAAATCCCAGAAACTTTGTCTCCCTTTTAATATTCTGACAAAATGTGTTTTGAAGCTGCTAACAAATGTAAAAAATACAACAGCTTGAGTTTTCCTTTTTCTTAATACTTCTGTTGTTTACCCACTGTGCATCAGAATTATTAAAGTGCAGAAATGTAGCATATGTTGCTGTTTGTAAATAATATTCTCCTAGAACTTACATTTGCTAATCATTTTTAATAGAGATTTTTCTAAGACTTTACAGATGTATGAATTTCATTCCAGGATTTTGTAATTGCCCATATTTGGTGAGGATCAACGAACTGTTATCATTTTGCAGGTCTCATCACAACCACATCAAGGAAACTAGATCGAGAACAGCAAGAGGAACATATATTGGAAGTAAGTGTCTTTGATTATTCTTAAAATACTGCAGTTATAAGAATGATCAGTGTGTTAACCAATATTCACGATTACTATTTTGTTATGTTACTTCTGATCATTAGCAAAAAGACATGATTATCGTTGGGAACAAGATGCTTTCTATGAAAAACTGTCCCTAAAAGCGTTTGTTAATGTGTTACTTTAACAGGTTACTGTGACTGACAATGGTAATCCTCCAAAATCAACCATTGCAAGAGTAATTGTGAAAATTCTTGATGAAAATGACAACAAACCTCAGTTCCCGCAGAAGTTTTATAAGATCAGACTCCCAGAGCGGGAAAAACAAGAACGAGAAAGAAATGCCAAACGCGAGCCTCTCTATCGTGTGATAGCTACAGACAAAGATGAAGGTCCCAATGCAGAAATCTCATACAGCATCGAGGATGGCAATGAGCATGGCAAATTTTTTATAGAGCCAAAAACTGGAGTGGTTTCATCCAAAAAGTTCTCTGGAGCCGGAGAATATGATATTCTCTCTGTGAGTTAAGATTGTAATCGAAATTTCATATGTACTTTGGTTAGGAACTTAGTTTTGTGTCACTCACAGCTTTTTCTCTAGGCAGTGAATAGTTTCAGTGTTTGAGACCTAACAGCCAGGCAGTACTTGATCATGTTTGAGAAAAGCAGAGTTGATTTTTCCCTTTTCAGCTTTCACTGTAGTTGCTTGTTCTTCATGTTGGGTAGTTCTTTTTATAAAATGTTAAATGTGTGGCAGATGCAGATTAATATCACATGTTAGAAATTGCCTGGGTTTAAGATTGAACCAATCCGTGCTGTAGTATGAGCTATGATTTCTGCTTGGTTAGCTTACCTCCTCTTTTCCTGTGTTATAGATTAAGGCAGTTGATAATGGTCGCCCTCAAAAGTCATCAACCACTAGACTCCATATTGAATGGATCTCCAAACCCAAGCCATCTTTGGAGCCAATTTCATTTGAAGAAACATTTTTTACCTTTACTGTAATGGAAAGTGATCCAGTTGCTCACATGATCGGAGTCATATCTGTTGAGCCACCTGGAAGACCTCTTTGGTTTGACATCATTGGTAAGAATTCCTCATAGTTTCCACTGTCGTTATTTATATACTGAGAATAGCTTGCATGTGTTTTCCTGATTTTTGTTTTCTGCATATCTCAGAATTGAAAATCAAATGTAGAATTTATAGGTGGAAAATTTGCTTTAAGCTGTAATGCTTGGATGGATTTTTTTTTTTTACACTGTGCATTGTTTGAAATAAGTGCTGTCTATCCACTGAGTTGTTATATATTAAAAAAATTTTTTTTGAAGTGCTTCAAGGAGTTTAATGATGTTTTGATACAAAAGCATACCTTCTGAATTTTTAATTCTTTATTTGTGACATCACGTTATGGTTTTTAGTAGCCATTAGTAGAAAATTTAAATTGACTGTCACAAGACAGGAGGCAGTGTTGTGGTATAGTAGGCAAACTGTATTTTGCTGTGCTGGCTGGCATCCTATGCCTATTTGAGAACTGCATGCATGCTCTGCTTTGGAACCAGGTTTCTGCTAATACACGTAGAAAGGCAGTGGACAGTGGTCCAAGTACTTGAGCCTCAGGCATATGGGAAACACTGATGGGATTCTGGCCCTGGCTCTAGCCCATCCTTAATCTGACTACTGTGAAAATTTCTGCAGTAAACCTACTGATGAAATATCTCTTTCTCACCTCCTACCACCCTGTCTGCCCATCACAAAGTAGGGGCTCTGCCTTCCAAATAAATAAACATATTTAAATATATTATTAAAAAGTAGAGTGACTGTCAGAGTTCAGTAGTTTATAGAAAATAAAATTATAGTTTTGATTTGCGTAAGTTAAACATTACAGTGTCAGCCGTGGCTTTTTAATTTTGTTTGCTTCATTTTCAGTAGGAAGCAGAGTTCATTAGAGTAATTCATCCTGTAATAAAATCTGCACACTTAAGTCCATCCCACTACTTGACACTCAACCCTCTTCTAGTTCAGATATTAAATGTAATAATACCCTGTTTAACAAACTGAAAAATGTTCACAAAAGACTTGATATTATCTTATAAAATCAAAAATACATCTTGTAATTCACCTCTAGGCAAAGTTTCATTTCTTTTTTTTTCCCCCTGTTCTAACCCAATACCAAGTTATCACCTAAACTCTTTCATGAAGTTGATACTGATGGAAACAGGCTGCAGGGATCCCAGAGTAGCTATACTACATGATTCACTTACTGACGTTTCACACTAGCCAGTGGACTGCTTTCCTTGATTTGCTTTTGGCACGAAACTGTTAATAACGTATGAGAACCATTACCATTTACTTTAAGGGGAAAGATTGATTTTGTAGTTCAGTATAACCAAAATAATTTGCTTGCCTTCCCTTCACTTTTTATCATATTCCTAAATTAATAGTCTAATATTGTACAATATCTGACATTGCTGACCCACCTGTTTGGAACCAGATGGATTGATTGTTCTTCCTGTTCTGTGCTTGCTTTTCATGCTTGCTTCTTTTGGCTGTGCCAGGAGATACACTTGCTAGAGAAGTTTTTCACATCTTTCAGATGACTTGTGACCTGAACTGTACAGCAGAAGGTATCTGCTGAGATCACATAATTTACCTAAGATTATGAGATCTAAAATAATAAAAGCATTGATTTTCTTTTTTGCCTTTTGTTGCTGTTTATTAATATGCACAAAGTCACCCATTCCAGTTGCAAACATAGTGACATTTAATGCATCCCTACATCTGTGGTTTTGGATTTGATTTAAGACCATGTGTGTGTCTGTGTTGTTTTGATTAGATTTAATGGTGTAACTTCATTCTGACATTATTCCTCTCTTTCCATTTAATTGATAGAAGCATTTCAGCTTCAATGGATTTGAAAGGTTCTTATCTAAAATGGAATTAAGGATACCTTTGAACAGTCAGTATGGAGAGGACAAGAACTTAAACATTATTAAGCTTTGTTTTTGACAAGAATATGACAACATTTAATTTCACATAGTGTATAATGGACAGGAATGATTGAAGTTAACAAACACTGTATTTTTCAGGGTTAAAGTTTGTTTTTAGCAATTATTTAATCAGAGCCATATGCTCAAAGTACCATGAAATCTTTTTCAACAATTCTACTTTTAAATTCTGAGTGACATGTTGTATAGCTACTATAAGTAAAAGGAATGTTCAGTACCCCTGAAAAATCAATCTGAAAATATTTCATTAGTAATATCAACAAACTTTTTCTTTGTTTCAGTTATTCTTTTGCTTCTTCTTGGTCAATAGCTATCCTTATGTTAGGATATAATTTTGCCTTTAAAACATTGTCTTTTTAACTGGCCATGCTTTTCTTGTCTTCTAAAATGCTTGTTCCTTGCGATCATTTTTATTAGTATACCAGAAGTCCTTTTTTCGGTGTCGTTAAGTAATAGAAAACCACCAAACAGTCGAAAGATTTTCATCTTGTATTGTGTTCTTAATCTTCTGTTTAATTTGAACTAGGTGGCAACTATGATAGTCACTTTGATGTGGACAAGGGCACTGGAACTATTATCGTTGCCAAACCTCTTGATGCAGAACAAAAAACAAACTATAACCTCACAGTTGAGGCTACAGATGGAACCAGCACTATCCTCACACAGGTAAGTGGGTTCCTCCTAATGTGCTACTGGTCTGAGCAAAGTAGAGAAAATATTCTAGTTTTAGGACCCACAGACAGCATGGGCAAGTTTAGCTGTCCTCTCAGGTTCTGACATCACAAATTAATGTGTGGTTAGTTTATACTTATGTACACTAAAAATTTTTATTTAGATAAAATATAAATCATGACTTATATTTTGCATGTAATTAAGTAGTTTCAAAGATTTTGACAGAAGACTGAAAATAAAACCACATCACATTGTTTGTTATTACTCCATCAGAAGTTTCTAATTGTATGCTCTAATTCAAAGTATATTGTTATTAAGGATGACATGTACAGATCATTTTCATTAGAGCTTTTTAAAGTGACTACTCTTGTAAGTCACTCTTTCTTTGGAATCCCACCTTCCCCAGCACAGGCACAATTTGGATAACATAATCAAAGCTATGTAAAAGTGACTGATAAAATTGCTCTACTTGTTCCTTTGTTTCCCAAGTTTGTTTCAATCTGATGATAGAGAGGTGGACAGATGTCTGAGATTTCTAACTTCACATTGAAAAACCCTGTAATCTTAACTTCTTATGTCCTACAAATTCTTTTTCATTGTGTTTATGGGCTGTTTTGAGTTGTACAAAAGCAACATTCCTAGTTGAATAAACACTGTGGGATTTGGGAAAGAGATCGAGGGCCATCCATTCATTCAGCTGATCCATGTGTACTTGGAATAGAGCAGGTATTTTTTGGAAAGCTGAAAATTAGGAAACAAGATAGACAAAAACTCTGCCCTGTTGGAGCTAAAGGCTTGTCTGGAATCTACCATATATACTTAAGGAAGTAACAAAATGGTAGACATTTTAATACTTCTTAATTCATTTCCTAGCTTCAAATTAAACTATGTTAAATTTTATGTGAGTCCTAGTTTATGCTATATCTTTTAGTTGCATAAAGGAATAAAAATCTCTTTTCAGTCAAATACAAAGATAATTTAAAGCCAGTCATGAGAATGTGTTATTCATCACTGAATGCTTATTATCTTCATCACAAGTAAAATTGATCCATTTTGAAATTGTTAAGTGAGAATTCTTGTATGTTATTAACATTTCAGTTTTGTCTGTAACCGTGTTCTTATTCTAGAAACAAACAGAACTAGTAAGTGTTCTTTCTCTTTAAAAACCAGTCCTGGGAGCTTTTATATGCTATTGATGGGAATGCCAATTAGCATGGCCATTATGGAAAATAATGTGGAGGTTCCTCAAGAACCTGTGAATAGAGCAGAGACATTGCAGTCCCACTACAGGATGTATATCCATAGGAGTCAATGTGTTTGAGAGATAGCTGTACTCACATTTTTGTTGCAGCACTATTCATAACAGCCAAACAATGGCTAGGTGTCTAAGGACATATGAATTGGTAAATAATATGAGATATGTACACAACAGAATATTATTCAGCACTAAAAAAATAAAATATTGTCATTTGTAGCAACTGTTGTGGAGTGTGAGCGAGATCATACAAGACATGTCTAAGGTTTGCTTCATTAATCAAACTTGCTGATAATAGAGCACAATAGCAAATCACAAAGGAACAAATGGTCATTATCCTTAAGTCCATCCATTAAGCTGAAGACCTATGTCCCAGCTTCCCAACAATGTAAGTTATCCTAAGAGACATGCAATGAATAACCTGGACACAAGTACAAAGCTGCAGACATTCACCTTTCCCTGGCTTCTCTGCCCACATTCCACTACTGCTAGGCCTCACCTCTCCTGCAACTCCTGACAGTACACAAACCAGGAACAACATTATTATATCCATTGTTCCATCTAAGCAGTACACAGATTAGAGGATTACCTATCCTGGGTCAGCCAAGAGTGGAGGTCCCAGAGTAACGGAAGCACCTGGCCAGAAAGAGAGCTAACCCCTGCTTCACAGACCTTTTAAAGGGGCTTGTGAGGGGAGTGGTTATACTGCAATGCAATACCACCCTCTCTTAGTTGATAGATGAGTCGCAGGTGGGCAGGAGTGAATACCTTGTGTTATGGGTTAAGGAGTTGATTAATGCTCATTGGAATGGGCAGGAACAGGAACTAGGCTTGTAGCTAAAAACACCTAGACTAATTGGACTTCCAGTATACTGGCTAATTTAGGACGTAAGGGGGGTGGTTGAGGATGGAATTCACATGCCATTGCTGTTAGGACCCACCTTCAGGACAGAGGGTAGAGAACACGCCAAATTTCATTTGCCCACTGTCAGTGGGTGCTGGCTATCACTGGCTGCACCCCATAACAGCAACCAAGGTGGAATAGGCAGACATTACAATAAATGAAATGAGCAAGTCACAGAAAGACAAATACTGCTTATTCTCAATCAGACGTGGAAACTAAATAGCTAATTGTATGAAAGTATACAGTAGTGGTTACTAGAGCCTTGCAAGAACATGGGGGAGGGAGGGTTGGAGAAGATGATTTGTGGATAGAAGGTAGGAATTATACAACATTATTATGGTTGACAAATATTTTCCATAATAACTGATACAGAGGATTTTGAAAATTTCCAGAACAGCAACAACAACAAAAAAAGTATATCTGAAATGACAGCTATATACCGGTTGCCCTGATTTGGCCATTATACATGTGCACATGTACTGAGATGTCACATGTTACTCTGTAAATATGTATTGTTAATATTTAAAGAATTAAAACCGCTCTACTTTTAGAATATAAAAGCAAGAGTAAAAATCAAGAAATGTAATGAATCCAATGAAATGATTCTGGTAGGATGACTTGAGTAATATAGAGTGGGTTGGTCCAGCTTCCAAAGTCAACTATCCAGAAATCAAGTGAAACAAGCGCTGTGCACCAAGCATTCTCATTATGAAAGACAATATATCCATCTGCAGCGTTTGGCATTCATTATGTAAACTAATTACCTGTTTCCCAGTAATCATAGCTTTAGTACAGTTGAACGATTACTATGAAATAACTGTATATTCACTAAAATTCCTCCAAAATCCTAGAAAATATATATGAATTTTTCTATTCACAGGGGCCCAAATAATCTTAGATTTCTGTGCTCTGCTTAAATTCGTTTACATAATTATGTTGAGTCATTTAAAGAGGGTCTTGTTATCTCAGTGAATTGCTGGCAGGGGAAGGCAGTTAAAATACAAGAGAATAGATTACAGAGCCCAGGTTGCCCTGTTAAGGTGTGGGACAAAGGGAACAATCAGTAATTAGGCTTAGGTTTCCAATCTGGGACTGAGAGCAGGGAGATAGGGATCTGAGGGGGCAGAGCAGCTGGTACCACGTGAAGAACACAGGACTCCAGACAGAAACACAGCAGGTGGATTTCAAAATGTAAGTAAAACCGCAGAACCAGTAGAGCAGGTTTTGTGCATCCAGGTCTGTTTCAGGAGATGCCAGATTTGAGGGGTTTTCAGAGTAGCAGTGGGAAGTCATAATGCGATACCAGTGTTCCCTGAGACCAGCTCTCCTAGCTTTTCTGGCCTGGCCTTGTCCACTGAGGCTGCTGCCCAGTGTTAATTGAGTCACTTTGGTTTATCTATAGGGATCTTAGCATGTCTAGTTAACATTCTTTTTTCTTTCTTAGACACAGCTTTGTTCTTATAAGTTTTGTTTTTGTTTTGTGGTGTTTTGTTTTTCACTTCAGAGCATCAACATCCCATTCTGCAGAGTAGGCAGCTTGGTCCGAGTTTCAGCCCTACCCCTTTGGGCATACTGGCTCCTTTTAGGCTTCAACTTTCTCCTTTGGGACATGGCAGTAGTGATAACCACTCTGGTTTTGTTCTTGGCAGGGTCAAGTGAGATGACATACAAGAGGCTTGCTTGTACAGAAAGCTCTTAGAGCCTGCCATTCAGTAAGCTCTTGGACAGGGGCAGCTATTACACATCAGCACTGGTCAGGGTTCCCATCTTGTTGCTTGACACTTGATGTACCTTCCCTTTTCTGTTCTGTTGCTGCAGTTCATCTTGTACTTCCTGCTGCCAGGATGATGATAAGTACAAGCGTTGAGCACACAGGCTGTGCGGTTCTCCAGTCTCAGCTTGGGGATCATGATGACACATATTTGATTCCACTTTCTTACTGTTCCTTTCCTATATTATTTCTTAATTACAATTTCTTATCTCTAGAAATAGAATGCCTGATTTTTGTCTCTTGCCTTATGCTTTTACCAGGCTCTTTCCAATACACATTCCTCTCACCAGTCAATACCCTACTGAGGCAAAGAGTTTTCTGAATGTCCCATCAATATCTGAATTCTTAAAACTTTGCATGATAAGGTATAAGACAAAGTTAGACTTTCTACATGGAAGACACTGTCTACGGAGGCTAAAAATGACACAAGACGTGACTGGCACTGTGACTTAGTGGAGTTAACTAGCCTATTTGGGATGCCAGTGTCCCATATTAGAGTGCTGATTGGAGTCCTGGCTACCCTGCTTCCAAGCAGCTCCCTGCTGATGCACCTGGGAAGCAGCAGATGTGGGTCCTGCACATGAGTGCTGCCACTCAGATGGGAAGCCAGAAAGTAGTTCCTGGGTCCTGGCTTCAATCTGGGCTTAGCCACTTCGAGGGTAAACCAGAGGATAAAAATTGCCTTCTCTTGTCTCCTTTCTTTCACTCTGCCTTTCAAACATAAAAATTGCCTTCTCTTGTTTCCTTTCTTTCACTCTGCCTTTCAAACAAATAATTCTTTAAACAGAGAGAGAGAGAAATGCCACAGGGCATGGATTTTATGAACTTATTCAGCACCCTAAATCCTGGACAGACCAATGGTAAGCATGTGAGTGTTCAGTAAATGTGTTTCAGTACATTTACCATCTCTGAGCTGGTCTTCTTACCTACAACTATCCTTGGACTAAACAGTGCTTACTGTATGTGGAAACTGACTAATATGTGTAGTGGAAATGGTTTCTAGAAATTGTTTTATGGACATTTTTTTAAGACCATCACTGACCTTAAAGTAAGAAGACCTCTATTATACTTTCAAATGTTTGTATAATTTCCCCATAAAACCTTCTTGTAGCATAGTGAATACATTTAGTATTCGTTAAAATAATTTATTGTTACACGGCTATCATTGAAGGAGAGCACCAAGATAGCCTTCAAGGAAAGGCCTTTATTCTAAGGGCTTGGCTGATGTAGTTAGCAGCTTTGCCTGTACGTTCCTAGTACTGACCTCCAGCGACACTTGGACTAGAAGACTCCTTTGTTCCCATGTATGCCAAACAAGTGTGTGTAGCTTTCCTAATCATAAACTGTAAGCCATATTTATTATCAGTAGGGATTTCTACTGTTTATACACTTTCATTATGAAAATTAATCTGTTGTCAAAAAGTGATTTGTGTGTATGTTCTTATGTAGTTTAGAACTGAGTTTAAAATTGATTCATTTTATTCATAATTGAAGATTTGTCTTTTCAAACTAACTTCTTTTTAAGAAGTAAACATGTTACAACTTACACAAGTTTTGTACTGATAGAAATAAGATTTAAAATACATTTCCAATTTGCCTTTTGCTGCATTAAAAACTTACTAGGAATTTGGGCTTTCCAATATTTGAGTGACTAAGTTAGTGTAACCAACTATTTCACTCACCCAAACAGCTTGTTGATTGCATATTTAAATCCTGTATTAGGCTTCTGTAAAGTCTAGTAATATAACTTATGTATGGTCTTTACTGAGTAGTCTACAGTCATCTTTGGGGAGACCTGATAAATTAAGTCAGCATTTCAGAAATAAGTGTCAAGTATAAGCAATGTTGTATTTGTATCATCAAAGTCAGTTTTAAGAATTTAGAAAGATGTTCCTTACTCATATTTAAATAATAGAGAAATTTTCAAAGATATTTTTGCTTCTGGATTGTTTTTGCTTTTATTTTTCATTTTTATACATTTTGTTAAATGCAATGTTATTTTCCTGATCTTAAAATATTAAGACATTGTAATATGGAGATCCCGGAGCCTAAAGAACTGTGTCATGAAAAATAAAATGTTTTAAAATACATTATTATATGGAATATCCATGTGAGTTATTTGGTTATTCATTATAGGTATTCATCAAAGTAATAGATACAAATGATCATCGTCCTCAGTTTTCCACATCAAAATATGAAGTTGTTATACCTGAAGATACATTACCAGAAACAGAAATTTTGCAAATCAGTGCTGTGGATAAGGATGAAAAAAACAAACTAATCTACACTCTGCAAAGTAGTATAGATCCATTGAGTCTCAAGAAATTCCGTCTTGATCCTGCAACTGGCTCTCTATATACTTCTGAAAAACTTGATCATGAAGCCATCCATCAGCATGTTCTCACTGTCATGGTAGGACATTAAGATTATTCTTTGACTACTGTTTGGTTACTGAAATATTTTCTATCTGTCAAGATCACTTTTTAAAACCAATTATGTAGAAAGATCCCAACAGGATTAATACTGTGTTGATTATGTTTAGGTTCGTGATCAGGATGTCCCTGTAAAACGCAACTTTGCAAGAATTATTGTTAATGTCAGTGACACGAATGACCATGCCCCATGGTTCACCAGTTCCTCCTATGAAGGGCGGGTTTATGAATCGGCAGCTGTCGGCTCAGTTGTGTTGGAGGTTACTGCTCTGGATAGAGACAAAGGAAGGAATGCTGAAGTGCTGTACTCAATTGAATCAGGTACTTTAGAAGCACTCATTGAATTTTAACTTTACTTGTTAAAATGCAATTTTTCTTTTCTAAAATTAATTCTAAATGTTGATGTTTTTATGTGTATCACTGTAAAAGAATACAAAATTTACCTTTAGTTACCCTGTAAACTTTAACCCATCAATGAGCAAAAATAGAGATCTGATTAAATTTGAATAAAATTCTTAGGGATTTACAAGGTTAGCGCAATTTGTAGCTCTGAGAGTCTTGTAGTAAAGAGAGTGTTTTTTACTGATATATCTGAAATAATAATCACACAATATTTTTCCTTTAAAATATTGATCAACTCTGAGACACACTTGAGAAAATGCTGGCCTAGTATTTAAAATTTTACTTTATACTTACACTATTTTCTCTTGGATCAAGAAATACCATGACAGAGAACTGACGTTATACAATTCTAATCAAGTCAGTCTCAGAAAGAGAATACCATATCCCTCTTACCTCCTCCTGGTTTAGCTTTTAGGTTTTGTTTTGTTTCATTTTGCTTTGTTTTTCTTACTCTTATGCACAGTAACAGCTGTCTTTTCTTCATGGAATCGAGTTGTTACAGGGTTAAGACTGGGACTGGAAGCAATGCAGGGAAGGTTAAGGGGCCTGATGGAGCTAACTTTGGCAGCAAAGGTGAAGAACGACTGGGGATAGTCATTCTAGGTGTGAGAGGACAGGAACAATGTGCATCGTCTTGCTGATGATAACTATGGGGAACATCACCAAGAAGTGGTCACAGCGGACTGAAATGTTCCTGTTCCTTTGTTTTATGCTGCTGTTCACCCATTCTGTTTTACATTCAGTGGGCTTAACCTCAGTTTTTTGTGCTAGGTGCCTTGTTTTTTGAGTCTTGCCTCTGTTTCAAAGCAAGTGATTAAAACAGTCAGAAATCATTACTTTGCTTTGAAATTTTTCCTGCTGTTGCCAAATCCTACAAATAAATGATTATATATTGAGGCAGGTCACAGTTTTCCTGGGTGACAGTGGCATTGAAAAGAATCTGTTAATTCTAGGTCTTCACTACATATTTAGAAATTATCGGTCTTACATATTAAAATTGATAGATGTATTGATTGTAGTTCATGTAATCAGAATCTGAGTAAATGAAGGCTGATTCTAGAAAAAAAGCCTTGATGTGCTTGGTATTTCATTTATTTTCCTTAAAACTACTATTACTCACAAATAAAATCTCACACACTGCCCACACTGGCCTTTTCCAGTGAAAACTTAGCACTTGTTTGATGATCATTTTATGATTTTGATAAGGTAAAAGTAATGCTAAATAGTTGCTTTATAGGAAACCATTACCATTAAATTACTGTGTTAAAATGTGGTGCAGTTAATGTTCCCAATAAAGAAAACTTTTTCCCATCATCTTTTTTCCACTGGTTTAGAAATTTAACATTTAGAAAAACAGTGGATTCCATTTATGCATGCCTGAGCTTTTCAATAAAATAATTTTCTCATAGACAAACTGACGGGGTTTATGTAGGAGAAAATGTTAAACTTTCCCTTAGCTTTCACATAATTTTCAACAACTGGGTGGTTAAAATATGATTTTTCATGTCTGAGTGAAGGCGTGGACATTCTTTGAATGCTTTCAGTGGCTGATGGGATTAGTAATTTGGTATTCTAAGAATGGGACTCTGTCTCCTCAAGAAATGGATAGTACCAATGGCCTTTTCCAGTAGGGACATAGTAGTGAATTGATGGTGACTTTATAACTTTGATAATATAAAAGTAATGTTAAGCAGTTTCTTCATAGGAAAGCACTACTGTTAAAATTCAGAATTGTGGGTCTGTGTTGATTCATCTTTGGAACACTATGAAATATAAAATGTTCCTACTATCTTTAATAACACTTACTTCATCATCATCTTTCTGATTTGTGTCAGATTGAATTTAATAATCTTTAAAAAGCTAGCAATAAGTTCCAGTCAGCACTGGAATTTTAATAAGCAGCAATTTATTAAGTAAAATGTTTGGTCTGATTAGTAGTGTTTAGGGACAAAGGAATTAATTAAAGGGTATTCTCTATAATAGTTGAATTGTACACGAGAGACACCCAGTACTGTAGTACAGGCTGCATGGGAATCTCTCCTTGTCTTTAAACATTACTAGGTTAGTGCTCTACTTCAAAACTGTTGTAACTGGAAATAGGAGACATTCAGTAAATGGATTTGTTGATTATAATTGGATTTTTCCCAAACTTCATTATAATTGCACTTTTTTTACTTACCAGCTGATAGAGGTAGCCATGCTGTCTAGACAGCAGTTTCTCATCATCCATCCACAGCATGTCTACCATGGGAAGAAACACATTCTCTCACAGCCCCGCTTACAGGTCCTGGGAGGTGCTTACAAAGTATAGCTATAACTTAAGAGCTGAGTGAATTTGATTTTTTTGCTGATAATTGCCCTATGAAATATGGAGAATAAAATAATTTAGGTTATTTAGAAATTACAGATATTTCAGTAGCACTCATTGCTTTCCACACAGACTTGCCATTGCTATCTCTTCTTTGGCTTGAATGATTTCATATGTGTTTGTATAGGAATCCAGCAGAGTTCTTATTTAACCTTCTTGTTACCCGTGGACAAGCCCAGCGTCATCTTTTTCAGAAATGGCTATGCTGAGTAGGGAGTCCTGGGCAGGCATTGTTATCACACTCTGTAAGCACAGTTGTTTGGGTTAAACGAAGTTAGGGGACAGGTGGAGAAGCAGTAAGAACCGTTCTAGGAGGGGACACAGCAAGTACAGAGCCCTGGGATGAGAGAGTGCTTCACTGATTGAGGAGCAAAGAGACTGTGAGGGTGGCTGGGAAACAGCAAGAGAGCAAGTTGTGCAGGAAGGAGTGTGTTCTAACACTCTCGGCAGCATCGCAGGTGGGGTCTATCTGCTCTTCATTTGACGCCGTGTGATTTATGGGCAACATAGGATTTCACCATACAAGATGAGAGAAACATGTTTGGAGATAAGTTAATGTGACATGGGAAAGTCTGAGGGGCAGGATTGAAGACAGTTGCCAATGATGACTCAGTCTGCTGTTAGGCCAGACAATATCACAGTTTTTTGGAAGGTGGGGATGACGTATACGTAGGATGAGAAAGGCTCTTCGAATTCTGATGACTGCCCAATGCTCAGTGACAAAGAATCTGAGATCACTGATGCTGCTAAGTACAGACAGACCGGAAATTAGTGTCTGCACATCCTGGCAAAGGCAGTGGAGGCTCTTTCACAGGCTAGGGTTCCATTCCAAGCTTCCAGGCCTGGAGAAAACCTGTGACTCGTCCCTGTGCATACCATGAGCCACTGCTTTGGGGCCTGGATACAGACCCAGGCAGGCTTAATGAAAACCAGACCGAGTCTGGCCTCAGGAAAACATGTCAGGGATTTTTGGAAAACGTATTAAAGGAAGGAAGGACTATAAGAGGAAGTATTTATTGTTAATGATGTGGAGGAAGAAGTGCTTGGTTAATCTCCTGGTTTGCAGATGCCACTAAATAGTTTTGGTCCATGAAATGCCATACTGATTGCAATGCTAGAGGAAACAGAATTGGAGAATGTAGTTAAATGGCAAGAAAACTTTGTTTTGGATAATTGTAATAGTTCACATGGGAAAAATAAATCCAGAGCAAGCTTGTTTATCAAACAGGAAAGGTATAAAAGGTTCTGGACCTGCCAAATCTGAGGACCTTAACACTGCTGAGGTCTATCTCAAAGGGCTGTAACAAACTGCTGGTTTTTTCCATTTCAGTTGATATCTAAAACTGTGAATTAGTGTGGAGTGCATTTGTACCTAACTATGTGGAATAGTCAGAAAAAAAGATATAAGCAAAGAAGACATTGTAGCCTATGATGTCTCACTGCAGCACTGCTGTCATTTGGCCAGATAATTTTTGTTGTTGTGAAGCTGTCCTGTGCTTGATCAAATGTTTATTAGTATCCAGTACATCTTCTCTCTTTAAGTTGTGATCATCAGAAATGTTTGCCAACATCGCCAGATGTCTGTTTCAGAGCAGAATTGCCCCTATTGGAGAGCCACTCATCTGAGAAAGTTTAGTAAGGCAATGATGTTGAATTTTCGTGACTAAGGTGGATTATACAAACTTATTCATCAGGTCCCTGAATATTTAAAAATTCTCATGAAGCTTTATTTAATTTTCTAAGTGAATTGAAATATATCTTCCTTTTCCTAATAAGTAAGAACTTAGCAATTTTACAAATGATAAATGCTGAAAATGATATTGCAGAAAGATTTTGAGGAACTCTTGGGAAATTAATAACTGAACTGCTATGTAGAAGGATATTCATGTCATTCCACCATATGTCCTTGTTTCAACTGATAGAATTTTTCTTTTAGGTGCATAGTGGTATTTTTTTTTTCTCTCGTAAGATTTATGGACAGAATTTTTTTTTAAGATTTATTTATTTTTTATCACAAAGTTAGACATACAGAGAAGAGGAGAGATAGAGAGGAAGATCTTTCATCTGATGATTCACTCCCCATGTGACCACAATGGCCGGTGCTGTGCTGGTCCAAAGCCAGGAGCCAAGGATTTCCTCCAGGTCTCCCACGCGGGTACAGGGTCCCAAAGCTTTGGGCCGTCCTCGACTGCTTTCCCAGGCCACAAGCAGGGAGCTGGATGGGAAGTGGAGCTGCCAGTACTGGAACTGGCACCCATATGGGATGCTGGGCGTTCAAGGCGAGGACTTTAGCCATTAGGCCACTGTGCTGGACCCCCGAATTCGTGAAAGAATGTCCTTTTCTAGAAGCTAAAAGTAAAATGATTTGACGTGTCATTCAAATATTCTTATCTGTTTAATTTCAGAATATATTATAAGGATATTTTCACTTATTTTTATTTGTTATTTTATTCCTTGTTATTTTTCTCTGATGTATTTTTTTTTCTTTCCTTCCCAGGAAATATTGGAAATTCTTTTACAATTGATCCTATCCTGGGTGCTATAAAAACTGCCAAAGAATTAGATCGAAGTAACCAAGTGGAATATGACTTAATGGTCAAAGCTACAGACCAAGGAAATCCACCAATGAGTGAAATAACTTCTGTGCATATCTTTGTCACAATTGCTGACAATGCCTCTCCTAAATTTACATCAAAAGAATATTCTGTTGAAATCAGTGAAACCATCAGCATTGGGAGTTTTGTGGGAATTGTTACAGCACATAGTCAGTCATCAGTGGTATATGAAATAAAAGATGGAAATATAGCTGATGCTTTTGATATTAATCCACACTCTGGGAGTATCATCACTCAGAAAGCCCTGGATTTTGAAACATTACCCATTTATACTTTGATAATCCAAGGAACTAACATGGCTGGGCTGTCCACTAATACAACTGTTCTAGTGCATCTACAGGATGAAAACGACAATTTACCAGTTTTTATGCAGACAGAATACATAGGACTCATTAGTGAATCAGCTGCTCCCAACAGTGTGATTCTGACAAACAAGAATGTCCCACTTGTGATTCGAGCAAGTGATGCTGATAGAGAATCAAATGCTTTGCTTGTGTATCACATTGTTGAACCATCAGTGCACAAATATTTTGCTATCGATTCAAGCACTGGAGCCATTCATACAGTACTAAGTTTGGACTATGAAGAAACAAGTGTTTTTTACTTTACTGTGCAAGTTCATGACATGGGGACACCACGTTTATTTGCTGAATATGCAGCTAACGTGACTATACATGTAATTGACATTAATGACTGTTCTCCTGTGTTTTCCCAATCATTATATGAAGCTTCTCTCTTGTTGCCTACGTACAAAGGAGTGAAAGTCATCACTGTAAATGCTACAGATGCTGATTCAAGTGCGTTCTCGCAGTTAATGTACTCCATCACCGAAGGCAACATCGGGGACAAGTTTTTTATGGACTATAAGACTGGGACTATAACAGTACAGAACACAACTCAGTTAAGAAGCCGCTATGAGTTAACCATTAGAGCTTCTGATGGCAGATTTGCCAGCTTTACTTCTGTGAAAGTCAATGTGAAAGAAAGCAAAGAAAGTCAGCTGAAGTTTACCCAAGACTTCTACTCTGCAAAAGTTATGGAGAATTCCACTGAAGCCAAAACATTAGCTGTGATTACTGCTATAGGAAACCCCATCAATGACCCTTTGTTTTACCATATCCTGAACCCAGATCGCCGATTTAAAATAAGCCGCACTTCAGGAGTACTTTCCACTACTGGGTTACCATTTGATCGTGAACAGCAGGAGACATTTGATGTGGTTGTAGAAGTAACAAAAGAGCATAAGCCTTCAGCTGTGGCCCACGTTGTTGTGAAAGTCACTGTAGAAGACCAAAATGACAATGCACCTGTGTTTGTCAACCTTCCCTATTATGCTGTTGTGAAGGTGGATACTGAGGTGGGCCATGTGATTCGCCATGTTACTGCCATAGACAGAGACAGTGGCAGAAATGGTGAAGTGCATTACAGTCTCAAGGAACATCATGAACACTTTGAAATTGGACCGATGGGTGAGATTTCATTAAAAAAGCAGTTTGAACTGGACACCTTAAATAAAGAATACCTTGTCACCGTAATTGCAAAAGATGGGGGCAGCCCAGCTTTTTCAGCTGAAGTTATTGTTCCAATCACTGTCATGAATAAAGCCATGCCTGTGTTTGAGAAACCTTTCTATAGTGCAGAGATTCCAGAGAACATTCAGATGCATAGCCCAGTTGTCCATGTACAAGCCAACAGCCCAGAAGGGTTGAAAGTGTTCTACAGCATCACAGAAGGAGACCCTTTTAGCCAGTTTTCTATTAATTTCAATACAGGAGTTATTAATGTCATAGCTCCTCTGGATTTTGAGTCCCACCCAGCATATAAGCTAAGCATCCGAGCCACGGACTCCTTGACAGGGGCACATGCTGAAGTCTTTGTTGACATAATAGTAGAAGATATCAATGACAATCCTCCTGTGTTTGTTCAGCAGTCTTATGCAGCAACCCTGTCTGAGGCGTCTGTAATTGGAACATCTGTCGTTCAAGTTAAAGCAACAGATTCTGATTCAGAACCCAATAGAGGAATTTCATACCAGATGTTTGGAAATCATAGTACGAGTCATGATCATTTTCACATAGACAGCAGCACTGGGCTCATTTCACTAGTCAGAACTTTGGACTATGAACAGTTCCAGCAGCACAAGATTTTCATAAGGGCTATTGATGGTGGCATGCCCACACTGAGCAGTGATGTGATTGTCACTGTGGATGTCACTGACCTCAATGATAATCCACCACTCTTTGACCAACAGATTTATGAAGCCACAATTAGTGAGCATGCCATTTATGGACATTTTGTGATGTGTGTAAAGGCCTATGATGCAGATAGTTCAGATGTAGACAAGTTAGAATACTCCATTCTGTCTGGCAATGATCATAAGAATTTTGTCATTGACAGTGAAACAGGGATTATCACACTCTCGAACCTGCGCCGGCACACCTTGAAGCCATTTTACAGTCTTAACGTTTCTGTTTCTGATGGGGTTTTCCGAAGTTCAGCCCAGGTTCATGTAATAGTAATTGGAAGCAATTTTCACAGTCCTGTTTTTCCTCAGAATGAATATGAAGTTGAGCTAGCTGAAAACGCTCCCTTACATACGCTGGTGATTGAGATTAAAGCAACTGATGGGGACTCTGGTATTTATGGTCACATTACTTACCATATTATAAATGACTTTGCCAAAGACAGGTTTTACACAAATGAGAGGGGGCAGCTGTTTACTTTGGAAAAACTCGATCGGGAAACCCCAGCAGAGAAAGTAATTCCAGTTCGTTTAATGGCCAAGGATGGTGGAGGAAAAGTTGCTTTCTGTACCGTTAATGTGATCCTTACAGATGACAATGACAATGCACCACAATTTCGAGCCACCAGGTATGAAGTGAACATTGGATCCAACGCTGCCAAAGGGACTTCAGTCATTAAAGTTATTGCAAGTGATGCTGATGAAGGATCCAACGCCGATGTCACCTATGCCATTGAAGCAGATTCTGACAGTGTAAAGGAGAATTTAGAAATTAACAAACTGTCTGGGGTGATAACTACAAAAGAAAGCTTAATTGGCTTAGAAAATGAATTCTTCACTTTTTTTGTTAGAGCTGTGGATAATGGTTCTCCCCACAAAGAATCTGTAGTTCCTGTTTATGTCAAAATACTTCCACCAGAAATACAGCTTCCAAGATTTTCAGAACCATTTTATACCTATACAATCTCAGAAGACATGCCTATTGGCACAGAAATAGATCTCATCCGAGCAGAACATAGTGGGACCATCCTTTACAGCCTGGTCAAAGGGAATACTCCTGAAAGTAACAGGGATGAATTCTTTGTGATTGACAGGCAGAGTGGGCGACTGAAACTGGAGAAGAGTCTTGACCATGAGACAACTAAATGGTATCAGTTCTCCATACTTGCCAGGTGTACTCACAATGACTATGAGGTGGTGGCTTCAGTAGATGTTAGCATCCAAGTAAAAGATGCAAATGACAACAGCCCAGTCGTGGAGTCTAATCCATATGAGGCATTTGTTGTTGAAAACTTGCCAGCAGGAAGCCGAGTCATCCAGGTCTGGGCATCTGATCTAGACTCAGGTACTAATGGCCAAGTCATGTATAGTCTAGATCAGTCACAGAGTATAGAAGTCATCGAGTCATTTGCCATTAACATGGAAACAGGCTGGATTACAACCCTAAAGGAACTTGACCATGAAAAGAGAGACAATTATCAGATTAAAGTGGTTGCATCTGACCATGGTGAGAAGGTCCAGTTATCTTCCACAGCCATCGTGGATGTTACCGTTACTGATGTCAATGATAACCCACCACGCTTCACGGCCGAGATTTATAAAGGAACTGTGAGTGAAGATGATCCACCAGGAGGTGTGATTGCCATCTTAAGTACTACGGATGCGGATTCCGAAGAGATCAACAAACAAGTTACATATTTCATAACAGGTAAAAAAAATCAAATGGTTTAAGTTAAAATTTTTATTAAAAATATAAATTCTAAGATGTATTTTATAGAAATGGAGATGTGAAGTGTGTTAAATTTAATTACGGTGTCTAAAATGAGTAGAAATGACATGTTAAGCAGCGTTTCAAATTTTCAACAGTTAACATTTGTATTAGACTTGTTTTTTATGACTATTGGACTTTATATTTAATCTATAGTAATAAAAATGAGTAACTGTGTAGACCAAATTATTCTTTAGCAATCTTATTTGTTTAGCTTATATTTTTGTAAATAACAGCTCATATTGGACAAATTTAATCATTTAAGCATTCTTTAAAAATCATAACATTGTATATCTTGAATGTAGTTTATTTTTCATGTTGCTAATTTTTCTTGTTTCAACAAATTTGTAATCTTTGTTGATTTAATAGGAGGTGATGCTTTGGGACAATTTGCTGTTGAAAATTTGCAGAATGAATGGAAGGTCTATGTGAAGAAACCTCTGGATAGGGAAAAAAGGGACAATTATCTTCTGACAATCACAGCAACTGACGGCACTTTTTCATCAAAAGCTATAGTTGAAGTGAAAGTACTTGATGCAAATGACAACAGTCCAGTTTGTGAAAAGGTGGGCCACTCTTTCCTCATTTGTGTGTGATAAATTTTTGTCTTAAACCTTCCAGTGGGGCTATCATCTCCTGTAATGTAATTAAAACGTGTTCCATCTTTTAGTTGCTTACTGTTAAACAATGAGAATTAAAAGAATTAAGACTTGAAAAAAACAACTGCTTTTGAGGAATGTTAAATAGATCAAAACCTCATTCTAAAAACTACGTTATAGACATGATTATGTGGTATCTAACTCTAAAAATGCTTCTGAAAACTCGTTATGGAGGATTATCTAAGTGTGAGGAAAAGTAATGAGGAACAGGATAGTTACTCTAACAGATATTTTTGAGGGTGCTTGTTCTATATGCTGCGGAAAGCAAGAAATTAATGATATGGCTCTTGTTCCTGTGGAGCTCATCATTGAACGGAAGAACAAAGTAGGAGCCAAGGAAAGGCTCTTTCCCTCAAAGGATTCAGTTAAGGAGGATGGGAGCAAGTGTGGTCCCTGGAGCTGGAGAGAAAGGCGAGAGGCCGAGCTGTACAGGAGAAAAGCCTGAGAACCTGGGATCAGATGATTAAGAGGAGAAGCAGAAGGATGAAGGAGCCTGAGCAGGGGATGCAGACATGGGAACAGTAGCTTAGTTACCCAGAAGTGGACAGTTTGTCACTGGAAGGAAATTTATGGGGAAAAAAGTAGACTGATTATAGAAGGCAATGAAGATCAATCCAAAGAATTTTTACTCTATGATTAGAAAAGTAAAGACTCATTGAGTCCTTTTGTATTTCAAAGAGGATGACATGAACGCAGAGTTCCTTAAAGAAGTTCACATTGGTAGTAGTGTGTCCATTGCTTAGGAAGAGTGAAAGATAATAGGACAGGCTTTAATGGCAGAAGAAATGGATGTAAAGTTGGTGACATCCAATCCCTGCCCGATTGACAGGCTGGCAGCTGTGCTGAGGTAAGTCTGATTTTGATGTTCAATGTGGGAATGTTGGACAAAGACCAGGGCAATGACAAAGATAAGGCTGAGGTATGAATTGGTTTTAGAGAAAGTATACTGAGTTCCATTTGGGATTTGTTAATTTTAAGGAAATGAATCAGTCAATGAAATAGACTTCTTAGGGATGATGAGGTAAGAATAAATATTAGGGAAAGTATGAAAACTTGGCAGTTTCTGTGGATAGTTGATAACTGACTTTATTTGAGAGGATGCAAACAAAATGGACTCAAATGGAAGATGGCTGCTTCTAAAGGAGAAGAGGCAGAACTGGAAGGAAGCCAGGAACACTGTCATTGGAAGTGAACGAAAAGAGAACTTCTAGAAGCAGGGTGGCAGGCAGAGGTGTGACATTGCTGGGAAAGTATGAATGAGACACACAGCAGAGCAATTAGATTCTGTGCCTGATTTGGGGGTGGTGGTGTCAGGGTCATGATGTAGGTGGCCACTCGAGTGGGGTTGAAGAGGATGCATTATGAACGAGATTTGGCCAGTGAAGAAGGTTGGAAATTAGGAAGGGAGAAGCATGACAGGTGAAGAGATGGCCAGGTGGAAGGGAAAGTGATATTGAAGAGGGCCAGAGACTCTGAAGAAGGCTGTCCAATCAGGAATTAGGAAATTCATTACAGCTGTGGAAACTTCAGCTATTCTGGACATGTAAAATTCTGTCAGGAGGGAAAATGGAACTTTGGAGGGACCAAGGGTTCATTTTAATTCATATTCGTGATTTTCTGGTAATAGTACTGGAGGGAAGGATGTATATGTGAATATGTGCTTCATTTCAAAATCAGATATGTATATTTTTATGGTCACTTTGGGAATATTGAAAGAAGGAAATTAGATATTTGAAGCCACCATTGTTGTAAAATATCATGTTACATAAGTCATAAAATGTAGCTCACTGATAATTGAGATTATACTAAGATTATTTCTCTTCCTCAGAGGATTTCATTTATGGCATGGTTTCCTAAAGAATCGGAACTGCAGGCAGTTTCTAGTTAGGCTTGAGGGTCAGAGCAGGAGTGAGGAAAGGAGCCAACCAGAATAGTAGTGGGGCCCGAGCTTTGCTTGTCCCCCTCGGGAATTTGCAGAATCTGGTTTTCTCCCACAGCATGGATTTCCTCTCTCCTACCTGCAGTGTTTTGCTTATATTAGGAAGAATCACACTCTTGACTCCCATATTTGAACGTAAATGCATGTAATGTAATCTAACTTCTAGGTAGGTGAGGAACACTACTTAGATTTTGCTGTAAGAATTTAACCCAGGCTAAGCATGAAACTGACTCGGTGTTCTGTTGATTAGATGTCATTTCAGGCTCCCTCAGGGATACGAAGTTGGAAACTGTTGCTTGGCTCTCCCTTGTGTTTCATGGGTTCTGCATGAAAAATAACTTTAAAAGCTCTTTTGGTTTTAGTTTTAATTCTTTCCCAGGTTTTCCATGGCCAAAGTTAAATGTCTTTTCCATTATTCCTTTGGCAGCCAGGCTGAAATTTTAATGTTTTTACACTAATGACATTGTTTGGAATCTTTCTAGACGTTATATTCAGACACCATTCCTGAAGATGCTCTTCCGGGGAAATTGATCATGCAGGTCTCCGCTACAGATGCAGATATCCGTTCCAATGCTGAAATTACTTACACTTTATCTGGTTCAGGTGCTGAAAAATTCAAACTCAATCCAGACACAGGTAATGATGTAGCTTGGCACAAATAATTAGTTCCAGCAAAATTATGTAGGTGGGTGATTTTAGAACACATATGAAGCTTAAAATTACATTTTGTCTATTTCAAATTTATTCTAGCACTTTGGAATTGACATCTTTTAGAAATCTCTGTAATGATTCAGTTCGTTAAATTTCAGGTGAAGTAAAAAGAGTGATAGTGGCATTACTGCCTATTTGAATGGAGGATTTAAAATTTAAAGATGATATACCCAACTTCTGTTTGTGAAAAACTCAGGCGTTAAAATAGATCTCTAACCTTGTGCTTTATTCATAATACTGTCTATTCATAGCATGTTTTCTTGAATTTGTGAACATAAATTTTATTTTATAATGCTTATCATTAAAAGAATTGCTTGTATTATTTTCTTCCTGTAATTTCTGTTTTGCTGAAATTTGGATCACTTCATGCCCTGATGCTCTAATTAGCATATGTGTGTAATTTGGGGCTCAAAAAATTAATTTGGTAAGTTAACTAGTTTTACTTCTGCAACATTGTTTGTAATAAAAGTGGCCCCTGGCCTCGGGTTTGTATGACTTAAAGAGCTGGCCTGGAAGGATTTGGAAATCTATGCTTAGCCCTTGTCTGTATGCCTGCTAGGCATGGGTCCTTTTAGCTTTTTTCTTTACCTGATAAACTGTTTATTAGAGCATTAAGCCTATGATTAGAAATTAAATTTAAAATATTTGTCACAAAAATTGAAGGACAATTCAGGAGAGGGAAAAACTATCATCCTGTACACTATCCGAAATATGTTCTCCTTACATTAATTGAAAAAGAAAAAGAATAATGGAGTTATAGTTTTTGGAAATCTGGAATGCACTGTGCTGTAGCTGTAGGTCTGATGTTGTCGCACTACGCTCTGGAGGAAGGCTGCCATTCTGGTTGTTAAGAGAAAAGGGAAATGCAAGGTGCACAGTTGCAGTTCATATCTTACATTTCAAGTGAATTCACCTATCTTTGCTTGTTTTTAGGTGAATTGAAAACATTAGCCTCCCTTGATCGTGAGGAACAAGCAGTTTATAATCTTCTAGTCAAGGCCACAGATGGAGGTGGAAGATACTGTCAAGCCAACATTGTGCTCACACTAGAAGACGTGAATGATAATGCACCTGAATTCTCTGCTGATCCGTACGCCATCACTGTGTTTGAGAACACAGAGCCTGGTACACCATTGACAAGGGTGCAGGCCACAGATGCAGATACAGGTGCGCTGTAGAACATGCAGGGCCTTCAAGCTGCCCACTGAAACCTTAGGATTCTCTGTCTTGAGACATAACCCATCTTCAAGCTGTTTTACTCTTTCCTCACACATAATGAATAGCTCATTATGATTGTAGAATGAAATTTTTTTGGATACTCAAGCCAAGGTTTTTGTTTGTTTGTTTGCTTTGATCTTTATGATTTAATTATCTGAAAGCCAGAGACATAAAGATAGGGGTTAGGGATCTTCTAACCATGTGCAGTGCCCAGGGTACTGGGCCAAGCTGAAGCCAGAAGCCTGGTACTCTATCCAGGTCTCCCATGGAAGTGGCAAGGCCTAGGTAGTAGGGCCATCTTGCACTGCTTTCTCTGGCAAGGGACTGGATTGGAAGTGGAGTAGCTACAACTTGAACCTGTGCAAACATGGGGTATCATCATTCACAGGTGGCAGCTTAACCTACTATGCCACATGTTGACCCTTATATCAGCATTAACAGGTATTTAATGTCCTGGTTGCTTCTCGTGAATTTTCTGTCTTAAGTATCAGTGATGAGAAAACAAAACTAGAATATATATTCATAGCATAACATTTTAATATCATAAAATAACTTTATCAAACTGACACTGAAGGAATCAGAAGAATGGCAAAAATGTTACTTTTCACTATTATATACTATGATGTATCCCTGTGCAGAAAATAGCCTTAAGAATCCAGACACCTGTGAAATCTTTGTTTTAATAGTTAATTATTAAAGTTCACTTTTTCTAGATCACATTCGTAAGACTTTTTCAATAATGTGTATTGGTATTTTCAATTTTTTAAAGGTAAGTTGCTTAATGAAATGTGAATTTCTTGTATAAATTTTTTGATGTGATTTTCCCTCAACAGGTTTGAATCGAAAGATTTCCTACTCACTGGTTAACTCTGCTGATGGACAATTCTCCATTAATGAATTATCTGGAATTATTCAATTAGAAAAGCCCTTGGATCGAGAACTACAGGCAGTCTATACCCTTACTCTGAAAGCTGTAGATCATGGTTTGCCAAGGAGGTTGTCAGCTACTGGTACTGTAATTGTATCAGTTTTAGATATAAATGACAACCCTCCTGTGTTTGAATACCGTGAATATGGTGCCACAGTGTCTGAAGACATTCTTATCGGGACAGAAGTTCTGCAAGTATATGCAGCAAGTCGGGATATCGAAGCAAATGCAGAAATCACCTATTCAATAATTAGTGGAAATGAACATGGAAAATTCAGCATAGATTCTAAAACAGGTAAGTTACAGAGTAATTGAGAGAAAGTCCTCTTTATTCTACGTGAAGGTAGTTTTTGCTTGATCCAGTATAAACCACAAGCAAATTCATTTGAAATACAAACCTGTAGTTTCACATGCTGCATGTGGTGTTGCAAGTAAGTACAGATAAGAGCAGATGATAGGAGAGGACTTGCGTGAAATACTTCTCTGTCCCCATATATGGAGCTCTTGTGAGGAGCTTCCCAGTAAAATAGTAATTTTACCTCTTTGATCTTGGTTTTAACAGTGGACATCTGATAACTGATTGAATTGGCTTCTTTGTAATAGTTATGTATATAACAGTTGAGATACTTTGAATCCCATGGGAAGATTATCTGCAAGGTCAGAAGTGATATGACCTGCTGACTTCTGCTCTGTAAATGCTTTTGTCGACTCATTAACCTGTGATCTAAATTAGCTGTGTCTTTGAACATTGTAAAAAATGTCTCCATTCAAGTTTGTTTTTTTGAGTCTTGGGTGTGTCAGATAAAGAACAGATGTGTGTTGATCCTGTTTTAAAACAGTCTTAATGCACATTATGAAAATATTCTTTTTAGGGTTCTTTACTCCATTCTCTTCCTGAATAGAATGGACATAATGAAATGGAAAGTTGTTAAAAAGGAATTATTAAATGGAAAGTTTTTAAAAAGAGGAAGACTAAGTGTAGGGATTTTTTTAGAGTAAATAAAAGGACATGTATCTCTTTTAATATTGTGCAAAAAAGAAACTGAAAGGCACAGCAGAAATCTTTTTTATTTTTTGAGTTTATTTTTATTAAAATCTAAATGTAGTTTAGAAAAGATAGAAGATAACATGTAAATAGTAAGTGCACTTTTGACGTAACATAGAGATTGTTTAGAAGTACTAACAGTTTCAGATGGGGTAGGAAAAGTTTTTGCCACTGGAGAACTAATTGATTTTCTATACAGGGGCCATATTCATCATTGAAAATCTGGATTATGAAACCTCTCATGGATATTACCTAACTGTAGAAGCCACTGATGGAGGCACCCCATCATTAAGTGACGTTGCAACTGTGAACATCAACATAACCGACATCAATGATAACACCCCAGTGTTCAGCCAGGACACCTATACAACAGTGATCAGTGAAGATGCTGTTCTGGAACAGTCTGTCATTACGGTGTGTATTTTCCTCTCTATAAATTTCTTCTGACTTGTAAGAATTTGGGCCAGTTTGAGCCAGTTTTAATAATGTCTTTATTTGAAAGTATATCGGAGGTGAGAATATTTTGTTAGGCTAATCAACTGCTGACTTTTATTATAAACAACTTTCTTAAAGTGGAAGATCTAAATATCTTATCCATTCTTTAGTTTTCTGCTAAACAAATGTGTAATGTTTTCCAGGTTATGGCTGATGATGCTGATGGACCTTCAAACAGCATTATCCACTATTCAATTATAGATGGCAATCAAGGAAGTCCATTCACAATTGACCCTGTGAAGGGAGAAGTGAAAGTGACTAAGCTTCTGGACCGGGAAACAGTAAGTGAAGAAGTTCAGTTTTAATTGTTTACCAAGAGGCCCAACGCAATGGCCTAGTGGCCAAATCCTCACCTTTTGTGAGCCAGGATCCCATATCGGTGCGAACTCGTGTCCTGGCTGCTCTACTTCCCTTCCAGCTCCCTGCTTAGCCTGGAAAAGCAGTAGAGGACAGCCCAAAGCCTTAGGAGGCCCACCTTGCATTGGGAGACACAGAAGAAGCTCCTGGTACCTTCCTTTGGATAAGCTCAGCTCCAGCCATTGTGGCCATTTGGAGAGTGAACTAGCAAATGGAAGATCTTTCTTTCTGTCTCTTCTTCTCTTTATGCATCTGCCTTTCCAATAAAAATGAATTAATAATAATAACAACAAATGTTTACTAAAGGCTGAGCATAATGGTGCAGCATGTTAAGGCACTGTTTGGGATACTTGTGTTTTATACTGGAGTGTCTAGTTTGTGTCCAGCTTCTGTGTTCTAATTTGGCTTCCTGTCCGTGCACTCTGCGAACCACTGAATGATGCCTCAAGTACCTGGGCCCCTGCCACCCATGTGGGAAACCCGTTCCAGGCTCCTGGTGTTAGTCTGACCCAGTCCTGCCTGTTGGTGCCATGAAAGTGCCCTTTTTCTTTCTCTTTCTCTGTGTGTCTGTGCCTGTCTACCTGTCTCTCCTTTGCAAGTAAATTAAAAAATAAGCATTCCCAGTTTAAAAAAAAAGCTGTTTATAGATTTCCAAATCAATAAATGGAAAGGTTTTGTCTTCATATCTGTTGGGCAATTCAGTGAAGACCAAAGGAAATTAACATGTTTTATTCTTGTTACTGTAAATACTTAAAAAGCAGTTATAGCGTGAAAAATCTCAAGAACAGAATATGTTTCATACTGACATGAGGTTTGAGTAGTGGAAGTTTGTATGGAGGAAAAAATAACTATTGAAGCCAGAGTTCTGAGACAATTTATGGAGTTCTAAACTGAGCTATAAAGAATTGCAGAATTTGGAAAACCATAGAGATTGGTAACTCAGTGTGAGAAATTACATAAACAAAGATATGAAGGGTAGAAGCCATGGGATATATCCAGGGGAATTCACCTAGGTGTATGGTTGTAAGATAAACATGAGGAAGTAGAGGGAGGGAAAATGGAAAGTGTTTTAGAAACAGGTGAGAGGCCATAAAGAAAATCGGATCAGAGGTTCAGAATTGATGCCAGGCATTAGGGAAATATTAATTATTTGTGGATACAAAGTATGAAGACATTAAGGAAGATTAGAACTGCAGTACTTTTAGAGTAGTGGGAAGGCTGTGGACAGTTGACCAGATCTGAGGCAACAGAAGCTGAGTTGGGAAAACAGTAGTGAGAGATGAGTGAAAAAAGCAAACCAAAGACAGTGAAGGAGAAACTCGAGTCAAACTTGAGTGAAGGGTGACTTTTCTTCACTTTTTCTATTGCTGGGTAGCACCGATGAAGAAAATTAGGAAAGTTCTCAAATACAGAGTTGTGGGGGTTGGCAGAGTTAAGTGAATTGGGGATTTGATCATTTGAGTTTTGATAATAGAGGAAAATAAAGGAGAATTAAGTCGTTCATGGAGAGTGACTCAGCGAGTATTTGGAGATGTTAAACTCAGAGACCTGAATGCTGGAAATGTGGGCGTGGATGTACCCTTGGAGCAGATCACATGTGATTTCTGGGCTTGAGACAATTGTGACAGATGAGGGTCAGGAGTAAGCCAGGTTAAACAGCAGCCAACCCTCTACCCCTGCACGCATTCAGGCTTGTGGAGAGGAAGGGGAGCTGGGCAGATAAGGCCTCAGAGAGGAAGCAAGAGGAAGCAATGAAGGAAATTGTGGTTTTAGAAAGTTGAAGAGGTTGGCAGGAATACAGAAGGCGATTGTGGAGAAGACCAGAGCAATTTGGAGAAATACTATTGAGATAACTCATTAAGCTTCAAATTCCATAATTTCCTTTCTGTAGAGACGAGACTTTCCTTTCTGTAGAGATTTGCCACAAGTTTAGGGAGCATGGTGGCTTTGTTGGCATCACTGTACTACTGTGCAGAGTAGTGTTTTTGAGTGAAGAGACTTGTATTCATTGGAGTGTAGCAGAGGAGATGGCCTGTGGGCTTTGCCAAGCTAGTGCACCCTCAGAAACTGTTTCCATCGGAGTATCTTATGGGACTAGTGTTCAACAAAGCTCACTCTGGGATTTGGCCATCCTTTTAAAATTTTTCCACCATTCATTATGGAAGTGAAAGAAGCAGTCTCTTCTAATTTCTTTTGTAGACAACCATAAACAAATAATCTTGAGGGGTTTAGACAGCAGAGTTCTGTCCAAGTGTGGAATCGAGGGGAGCTGGATGTCCTGAGGTAATGAAAATGAGTCATTGTCCAAAGATGAGAGACAGCTAATGTCTGTCTAAATCTGGCAAGCAGTATAATTTGGGCTCCAGGGAAGGCTGCCTTCCATATTATTACTCATCTAAAATGCTGAAGCAATAGCCTTTGAGATAGTAGTATTAATATTTTTTCCTGGTCATTTATGTTACTCTCCAGGCTTAGTTTCTTTTTATATGGCTGCAAGTTTCTAAAGATAAAAACACTTTTAATCAAATGGATATGTGTTTGAGATGCATCAGAAGATCTCATCACAATTGAACTTTCTGTAGAAAAAACACTTGCTCATTCTAGTGAACTTGTTTGTAGGGAACTGTCTACCAAGCAGACACAGCAAGTGATGGTAGTTAATTAAGAACAACTCTTGCATCTTGTCAGAACACTTCAGATTTAAACCCCGTGCACTGGTTGTAAAATGAATGTGCATTCTCCCTCTGTGTGTTTTTTCCCTAAAAGATTTCTGGTTACACACTCACCATTCAAGCTTCTGACAACGGCAGTCCACCCAGAATCAGCACAGCGACCGTGAACATTGATGTGTCTGATGTCAATGACAACCCCCCCATCTTCTCCAAGGGAAACTACAGCGTGATCATCCAGGTGAGCCTGACCTGCTGCATGGCTCACAGAGCCCTTGTGAAATGAGCTCTTTCCCTTGCCTTCAGTGGGTTGTTTGAAACTGCTTGCTTTTCCAAAGGGTACTTTTCAGGCAAGGGGGAAAAAGAAAGTTAAAGGAGTCTTGAATAAAGATTAAGAGATGAAAGTTTTCAAGCTGCACCCGAGCTTCTATTTTACTTTGAAGATAACCTCTCTGTCCTGAGATTAGTAAGCTTGTTCCTTAGTCATATGTTCTGCTCCTGTAACTTTTCCTGCTTGCTACCTCCTCCCTGCTACTGCCCTTCCTCTTCCCCTATAAGTGTTGCCTATCCCCACATACTCCTCACACACATCCTTTTTTTTTCCTGGACCCATCCTTTGTCCTGTCCTCTTGCTGCTCACCAGCATCCTCTGCTCTTCCCCTCTCTTCTCTTCCAGGTGTAACAGCTTTGTTTCCACGTGTTTTTGCTTATAGAAAACTCACATGTGGCTCAACCTTGGGCTGGGTTGAAAGGTTTTTGCTTTGTTTTTTATTTTGGGCAGGAAAACAAACCTGTGGGCTTCAGTGTGCTGCAGCTAGTGGTGACAGACAAGGATTCTTCTCACAATGGCCCACCCTTCTTCTTTACCATTGTGAGTGGAAATGATGACAGAGCATTTGAAGTGAGCCAACAAGGAGTCCTGATGACTGCAGCTACCATTGACAAGAAGTCAAGAGATCACTACTTACTGCTGGTGAAGGTATTACAGCTTTCTCTGTGGGTTTCCTATAGCTTCCTGAAAAGTGCTACTGGTTACTTCTGAATGCCCCTTTCAGGAAAAACATTTGTGAAATGGTGTTCTTTGTCTTTGGTCATACCTTCCTTTGTGTACTAACTGCACTTTGAGGGGACTCATTCACTCATTTGGTTCTGTAGCTGTCACATTGGGTCAATATGAATTAGTGACATTACAATAAAGAAGTAATTTGTCCTTTTCTTTGAGATGCTTCTCATGTAACAAAACGCCTTGCTTAGCAGTAAAGGGTGCCTACTAAGAAATGCCTCGTCAGGAGGTTTTGTCGTAGTGGAGACATCGCAAAGTGCACTTGCACAGATCTGGATGATGTAGGTAAACCACTCGGCCTCTTGATGCAGTCATGAGATACAGTAAACACAGGCCTAAGGATGCCACTGCTGGCACAATATGGCTTAATAGTTTATAGTTCACTTTTTTTATATAAGCAGGGGAATACCCTCTGAAAAGGCAGTAACATTATAAATACATAAACCATTAACATAGCCATTTGTCATTGTCAAGTACAAAATACTATACATAATTATTTGTGGTGTACTTTTATAGGATTGACAGCACAATAAGTTTGCAACAGCATCAGCAGTGTGATTAGTGTGAGTACTGCGTTGTGCTCTGCAGTTAGCATGACCACAGCATCGCTAAGCAATAGGGAATTTCATCTCCATTATCATCTTATGGGATCACCATCATATATTCACTGAATCCATCATTAACTGAAACATTTTTACACAGGACTGGAATCATGTAACAGTAGGTTTTTTTAACTTCAGTGTTGTAAATATATTTTTATTAAGACATAGGGAAAAGTGATTTCCTGTTTCTTTTCTCGTAGGTGTCAGATAATGGAAAGCCACAGTTGTCGTCTTTGACATACATTGATGTTCATGTTATCGAAGAGAGCATCCATCCTCCTGCAATTTTGCCACTGGAAATTTTCATTACTGCCTTTGGAGAGGAATATTCGGGAGGTGTCATCGGGAAGATCCATGCAACAGACCAGGATGTCTATGACACTTTAACCTACAGTCTTGATCCCCAGCTGGACAGCCTGTTTTCTGTGTCCAGCACTGGGGGTAAGCTGATAGCACACAAAAAGCTGGATATAGGGCAGTATCTTCTCAATGTCAGTGTAACAGATGGAAAGTTCACAACTGTGGCTGACATCACAGTGCATATCAGACAAGTGACACAAGAGATGCTGAACCATACCATCGCACTCCGCTTTGCCAATCTCACCCCGGAAGAATTTGTTGGTGACTACTGGCGCAACTTCCAGCGGGCTTTACGGAACATCCTGGGAGTCAGGAGGAATGATGTGCAGATTGTGAGTCTGCAGGCCTCAGAGCCTCACCCACATCTGGATGTCTTACTCTTCATAGAGAAATCAGGTAGTACCCAAGTTTCAACAAAGCAGCTTCTGCACAAGATCAATTCTTCTGTGGCTGATATCGAGGAAATCATTGGTGTGAAGATCTTGGATGTGTTCCACAAGCTCTGTGCAGGACTGGATTGTCCGTGGAAATTTTGTGATGAAAAGGTATCTGTGGATGAAAGTGTCATGTCCACACACAGCACAGCCAGGCTGAGTTTTGTGACTCCTCGCCACCACAGAATAGCTGTGTGCCTCTGCAAAGGTAATGCTCAAAAGGCTGTGAAATCAGTGTTACAGATGACTTCCTGGGTGACCTGACCTTTGGTGGTGACACATTGACAATCATTTTCATGACACTCCTGTTGTCTCCCCCTTCCCCTCTTTATTTTCATTAATTATAGAGGGAACATGTCCATCTGTTCACCATGGTTGTGAAGACCATCCCTGCCCAGAGGGGTCTGAATGTATCGCTGACCCCAGAGAGGAGAAGTATACCTGTGTCTGTCCTGGAGGCAAGTTTGGTCAGTGCCCAGGTGAGAGTTCAATGATCAAGCTTATGTTTATTTCTTTTAAAAATCACTTTTCAAAGCTTCTCATAATTTTCTTCTTTAATGGACTCAAAAACCATTGTATAGTATGTTTGTTAATGACAAGTGCAATGTAAAGATGAAGAGTGGCAGCAGTAATCTTCCTTCCTGTCTGATAACAACACACGTGAGTTCGGGGCTTGTGTGCTCCTTCTGCATCATCCATACCTCCAAAGACAAAGGCATCTGTGTGCTTTATGTATGCATTTATCTGACAGATAGAGCAACACACATGCACACACAGATTTTCCTATGTTGCTTAGCTTCTTAAAATCCTGCAGCAGTCAAAGCTAGGCCAGGCAAAACCCAGGAGTTAGGAACTATATCTGAGTTGATTTTGATTTCCCATCTGTTGCTTTTCTCTGTAAAGTCTTATTTATTTGGAAGTTAGAGAGATGGAAGGAGATTAGTAGAGGTTTCCCCTGTGCAGATTCATTCCTGTCAGAGCCTGGAGCTAGGAGTCCCATTTTGGTTTCCACACATGGGTGGCAAGGACACAACCATTACATTAGCAGATAGCTGGAATAAGGAGGAAAAGACCTAGAACTTTAACCTGGGTACTCTGATTTGAGATGCAAGCATCCCAAGCAACATCTTAATCACTGTGCCAAATGTGATTTTATCTTTAAAAAAAATCAGGTAATTCAAGAGTGATTATGTGCCATTCAGTCCTCTATCTCCTGCTTTTTACCTCTATTTGGTGGTTTATTATGGGCCTCCTTCTAAGCCCCTACTCATAAACCTGATTCTTTTAAAAATTAGACACTATTTCAAGATCTTTTGCGTTTATCCAACATTCTGCCTATATGTAGAGATGCCAGTTGTTATATTGTTGTCTGTTTAAAAAAAGAAAACCTTATACATATACCTTTAGTTGTGGTGTTTTCATTTCAATATAACATAACCCATAAACAGTATTTTGCTTTGCCAATGGCCACCTTAAAGTTTTAAGAACACTGTGTATTAATTCACTCAGACATGGTGCCAGTCCTGTTTCTTCCAGGTGTGTTGAAAATCTCATCCCCCCATTCTGTTGCTAATATTGGCAGTTTTCAATTAAAAACTGAATTATTCTCATTCAATGGGCATAGAATGACATCCAATGATTACTTTAATTTGTATTTTTCTACTGCTGTGACCATGGTCTTTACATTTCTTCATTGACTATAATCATCTCTCTTGTGGCTTTGCCTGTTCTCTTGTTGCATTGTCTGGGTTGTTTGTCCATTCATTGTGTAGAGGTCTTTGTGAATTTTGAGCATTAACATTCTCAGCATTCCAGTTTCTCCTGTCTATATACTAATGGCCTTTTGATTTATTAAACAGGTCTTTTGTCATTTTTAAATTTAATTTTTGTTTAAGCCTGCATGATATTGCATAGCATTTCTGTCTCTGGAGATGCTATTTCATTACCTTGTGGGAAGTGAGGATTGTTTTATATTTTAATTAGAAAATTTTCCCAAGCCACCTTGAGCTATGTTGGGATTTTCTGAAATTGTCTTCTAATAATTTTGTACTAAGCAGTTTTATTTTGAGCTTTTATTATTTTAGAATTCAATTCTCTGAGATGCAGTAGTCATAATTTATTCTTTTTAAAATACAGAGCCAATAAAGCTATGCTGTTTGTTTCAACAACATTTTCTCTTAGAGTTGAAGTGGATAATGATACAATCTTAAGTAAGAACCTAGTCTCAGGGAGGGAATAATCGTGCTTTACAAACATGCTTAACTTGGTTTTGACTTACTCATTTCTCTTTGTGATCCACAGGAGGTTCATCTCTAACATTTACTGGCAACAGTTTTGTAAAATATCGTCTCATGGAAAATGAGAACAAATTGGAGATGAAATTATCTATGAAGCTAAGAACCTACTCTACACATGCAGTTGTAATGTATGCTCGAGGAACTGACTATAGTATCTTGGAGGTATGCATTTGTGGAGTTCTTTGCTTTAGAATGGGGAAGACTTTAAAAAATGTTGTTTTCATCTTATGTATAGATTGTTATCCATTAAGAGAAAAGAGAATAGGCTGGCGCCAGAGCTAAGCTCTGCCTGAGGCACCAGGTTTGATCTAGCTCCTTGCTAATGGCCTACAAAAGCAGTGGTTGGGCCATTGCACCCACATGGGAAAACTGGAAGAACTGCTTGGTTCCTGGCTCCAGACCACCACAGCTGCAGTAATGATGGCCCTTGCGGGGTAAACCAACAGATGGAAGGTCTCTCTGTCTCTTCTTCTCTTTGTAAATCTGCCTTTCAAATAAGATTACTCTTCCAAAAGAAGAAATTGCATGTTTAAACATTTTTTTCATTCTTATATAGTTTTCTACTTTGAACTAAAAAAAAATTGTCTTACAGTGACTTAGAGATGTATTTCCGGTTTTTAACAATATGTTTAAGTATATGTGACAATTGATATTCAAACTGTGTTTAGTATCACATACTACTAGTGTTAATGAGAGTTTATCGAAATCCTGCATATGCTTAATGTGTTATACCCTTTTTTTAATGATTTTACTTGACATTATCTGGTGCTGTGTGTGTGTGTGTGTGTGTATGTATGTGTGTGTTGTGGGGTGATGGTTGGGGGCTGTTTTCGTTACTTCCATGATGTCTTGAGAACGTGCAGTTGGTACTTGAAATTGATATCCTAGGGAGATCCATTTTCCTTATTTGTACAATGTACATATGTATATACTTACTTAAATGCAGAACTTCATTCTACCTTTGTTTGTCAGATAGACCTCTCTCATAGATTCTTGATCAGAGATTATAAATGACCGTTCTCTGAAAGTCATGTGAACATAATTGTTTTTGCCTTAGATTCATAACGGAAGACTGCAATACAAATTTGACTGTGGAAGTGGCCCTGGGATTGTCTCTGTTCAAAGCATTCAAGTCAATGATGGGCAGTGGCATGCAGTATCTCTTGAAGTGAATGGAAACTATGCTAAACTGGTTCTTGACCAAGTCCACACTGCATCAGGCACAGCACCAGGGACTCTGAAAACCTTAAATCTAGATAACCATGTGTTTTTTGGCGGCCATATCCGTCAACAAGGATCAAGGCATGGAAGGAGCCCCCAAGTTGGTAATGGCTTCAGAGGTTGTATGGACTCCATCTATTTGAATGGACAGGAGCTTCCTTTAAATAGCAAACCGAGAAGCTATGCACACATTGAGGAGTCAGTGGATGTTTCTCCTGGGTGCTTATTAGCAGCTACGGAAGACTGTTCCAGTAACCCTTGTCAGAATGGTGGTGTTTGCCATCCATCACCTGCTGGAGGTAGGCTTCGTAGTGTTGTGATCCATAAAGTGTTATGCATATTTTCCTGTATTTATTTAAATCAGATTGTCAGTTTTACATTTAATTTTGGAGTTGAATAGGGTAGAACAGAGCAGGCGTTATGATTCTTCCCAGGGGCCAGGCTGAAGGGGGGCAGTTTGACTGCTCAGGGTGTCTAGACCTACCTGTAGTCCCGTCTGCGGCACTGGAGCGGAATGTAATTCTATCCACATTCCATTCTGCACCAGTAATCACTGGGATTTCTTCTAACTCCACAGACACTGACCTCAGGGCGATTTAGAATTAGTGCCGCATAGTTCTAGGTTCTTTTATCCAGTACAGTTTTATCCAGCAGCCCGGAGCACACTGCTGGTTCTAGCAATAACATACGGAAGTATGATTTTCCAGAGGGCCTTGAATGCCTCTGGAAATGTTGCTGTACCTGTCTGTCTTGAATCCCTGGCAATTGGTGATCCTCTGGGCCTGCTGTGTCCCAGACTCTTATTAAAGCACTCTCAGTGTCAGAGTATAGTTAGGAAAATGACAGCCATCATGCCTCATAACTAAAGCTTGTAGTTAATGTAACAGACATCTATAAGTAATCCTTTAAGTGAGATTTCAACAATTTGGTTTTGTGCTGTTTCTTTGGAAAGTGTGTGTATACTATAGACAGTGAATCAGCCAGCTTGTCCACACATTAACACTGAATAGTCTCATTGGTGTAACCTGTACCATACCCATATTCATTACATATCTAGATCATATCAGCAAGGAGGCTGTCCTCATTGTGCCATAGGGATGAAGAGGCTGAATAAGCAATATTTTTGAAATGTGCTGCTATGATCACTGAAGCAGAAAACATATGCCAACCATGCATAGGCTGATTAAGCTCCTAGCCTCAAGTTTCCCATTTCCTTTAATTTTTTTTTAATTTGACTCTTTAACAGTGTTTGTTTTTGGATTATGATGATGATTAGAAAGGTAGAGTTACAGAGAGAGAAGGAGAGACAGAGATCTTGTTCCACTAGTTCACTCCCCAGGTAGCTGTAGCAGCCAGAACCAAGTCAGTTCGAAGCCAGGAGCTTTTTCTGGGTTTCCCATGTGGATGCGGTGGCCCAAGGACTTGAGCCATTCTCTGGTGCTTCCCCATGCCAGCAGCAGGGAACCAGATCAGATGGAGCAGGCAGGACACAAACCAGAGCCATATGGGATATTGGCACCACAGGCGAAGGCTTAGCTTGTTGAGCCACCACATCACTCCCTACATTTCTTATTTCTTTGGTCCAAGATAAATCCACCATACCTATGATCAGTTTTAAAGAGGGTGGAGACATACAGCCTTTTCTCTCAGGACAGAATAATTGGAAATAGCCTGCCAGACCACCTATCACGGTGTTTATGAAATAAGTACTCACATTCCTTCTGCTCATATGCACAGATTTGTTGATCTCTTTTCTCAAATTTGAATGGTAATTTATACTCTCAAAAGTGCCTTTTACATTGATTATGATACCATTTAATACTGATGTTGTAAGGTGCTAATTAACGGAGGTGTATTAAGTTGCATTGCCTATGTATGGTCATTCACATACAGGGCATTCTTTTTCCTGTTCTGTATGTTTGATTCAATAATGTCACATGTATTTCAGTAAACTAAACATAAATTTTCACTTGTTTATTTTTAGTTGTGTGTGTAGTAAACATTCATAATCTAGAAACTTGAAATCTTCCAAAATTTGAAACTTTTTCAGCACCATACATTTTGCATTTTGATTTTTAGACTTCTAGGTTGGGAATTTCCTGTCCTGGAGTTTTTGTTAATATTTTAAATCTGAACAACCCTGTAATCTGAAACAGTCTGATTGAGACTTTCAGCTGGGGTCATCAATGTGAGGCTGGTAATAGAGACGGCTTTTTACCCTGAAATGGTGGGGTTCCACTAGCTTTTATAAATCCCAAGGAACTGAATCTTCAGTTAAACTGAGTTAAGGATAAAAGCTAATGTAAAACACTGACAGGACTGTTTTTCCCTCTTGGTTTATTCAGGTTATTACTGCAAATGCAGCCCCATGTATGTTGGGACATACTGTGAGATGAGCGTCAATCCGTGCTCCTCCAATCCATGCCTCTATGGTGGCACCTGCATGGTGGACAATGGCGACTTTGTTTGCCAATGTAGAGGATTATATACTGGTCAGAGGTATGTATCATTTTCTTAACTTTCATGATTAATTATACTCGAATTGTCTTCATATGTCATTGTGCATGTTGATCCCTCATCTGTTCATATTTCTTTATGTTATCTGAAATAGAATTATAAAGTTACACCTTTTTTTCCCCTTAATCTTTAGGTGCCAGCTTAGTCCATACTGCAAAGATGAACCCTGTAAAAATGGTGGAACATGTTTTGACAGTTTGGATGGTGCCGTTTGTCAGTGTGACTCAGGTTTTAGGGGAGAAAGGTAAATGATTTCCCTCAAGATATGTATTTGCATCTTTCTCTGTTGCCATATTTATGAATAGATACAACGAAACTTCATTATTACTCTATTACTTCAGAATTTAATGATAAGATCTCACATAGCTTCTTATGTAGTTTATCTTTTCACTCTGAAAAAGTTGCACAAATGACTGTGATCCTGGAAGAGACCAGCCTCCCTACTCTAACAGATACCATTGAAGCAGACACCCGTGGAGCAGTGCTCACGCCTCCTTGAGAAATGTCATTTCTTCCTTGCTTTGTAACATCCAGAAACCTTTCTCAGTTGTCTCATCTTCTTTATCATAATCCTTAGAGTGTTTCTTACTTTAGGTTTAAAAAAAGAGGCACAGGGGTGCCTGTTGTCCACTTGAAAGGTGGGTTAGAGATTTTAGTTCAGGTGGCCTTTTCACCTTAGAATTTTCATTAGTTCAGTTACAAAAAGTTGGGGAGTACATGCTGTTTGCAAATGCTTAGTGCAACATGCAAGGCTTAACTGTGCATCTTATTAGAGCACTTTTAAATGTTACCTCCTTGCAGGTATGCCATAGTTTTGCTCTAGTGTTGATTAAGCTCCTGAAATTTGCCATTTTGTCGCATGACCTCAGTTTACAAATTCACTTTTCTTATTTTTTTTTAAAGATTTATTTATTCTTATTACAAAGTCAGATATACAGAGAGAAGGAGAGACAAAGAGAAGATCTTCTGTCCTATGATTCACTCCCCAAGTGAGCGCAACAGTCAATGCTATGCGGGTCCAAAGCCAGGATCAGGAACTTCTTCCGGGTCTCCCACATGGGTGCAGGATCCCAAAGCTTTGGGCTGTCCTTGACTGCTTTCCCAGGCCACAAGCAGGGAGCTGGATGGGAAGTGGAGCTGCTGGGATTAGAACCGGCGCCCATATGGGATCCCGGTGCGTTGAAGGCGAGGACTTTAGGCGCTAGGCCACGCTGCCGAGCCCAATAAATTCACTTTTCTAATTCTACTCAGTGAATACTCCTAATACACTAGACAAAAATACATCAGTAATCTGGTGAATATGTGGGAAAGTAAGTGAATAAATTGTATAGGAGAAGGGAGAGTTTGAGGTAGGACAGGTAGATCTATATAGATAGGATAGGCGTCTGCTTAGCAATATGGAGAGGATTGCCTGGGGACTGCTCTGTCAGGCCAAGGGGACTGGGAAGGTTTCCAATGCAAATTCACTTTTTTGTTTTTCTGTGTGGACATCCCAACTAGTATCTTAACTACCCTAACTACATGTTTTCTTTTTAATAGTTTTTTTTTTATTTACTTATTTTCTCTTCATTTGGAATTCAGAGAGATAAGATGGAGATCTTCATCTGATGGGTCATGTCCCAAGTCCCCACAACAGTCCATGCTGGGAGCCTAGACCTCAGTCCCCATCTCCCATTTGGGTGCCAGGGACCCAAAGTACTTGGGGCATCATCTGCCCCCTTACAAGGTGTACTCTAGATAGAAGCTAGAGACCCAGGACTCGAACGAGGCACTTTGTTATAGCATGTAGGCAGAACCACCAGGAGCTTAACTATTGTGCCATATTCTCATTCCCAGAATAATTTTTGGAGAGTGAAACATAGGACCTGACACAAAGGCCCAGTGGCTAAATCCTTCCCTCACACTTGCCAGGATCCTATGTAGGCATCAGTTTGTGTCCCTGCTGTTCCCATTTCCCAACCAGCTCCCTGCTTGTGGCCTAGGAAAGCAGTGGATTGTGGCCCAAAGCCTTGGAACCTTGTACCCACATGGGAAACCTGCAGGAGACTCCTTGATCCTGGCTTTGGATTAGGCCACCTCTGGTCATTGTGGCTACTTGGGCAGTGAACCAGCAGACAGAAGATTTTTCTCTCTCCCTCTCTGTAAATCTACTTTTTGAGTAAAAATAAATCTTAAAAAAAAAATAAACACATAATTTTCTTTTTTTTTTTTTTAAAGATTTATTTTTATTATTTTTTATTGGAAAGGCGGATATACAGAGAGGAGAGACAGAGAGGAAGATCTTCCATCCGATGATTCACTCCCCAAGTGAGCCGCAACGGGTCGATACTATGCCGATCCAAAGCCAGGAGCCTCTTCCGGGTCTCCCACGCGGGTGCAGGGTCCCAAAGCTTTGGGCCGTCCTCAACTGCTTTCCCAGGCCACAGGCAGGGAGCTGGAAGGGAAGCGGGGCTGCCGGGATTAGAACCGGCGCCCGTATGGGATCCCGGGCGTGCAAGGCGAGGACTTAACCACTTGCGCCACCGCGCCGGGCCCAACACATAATTTTCTGTCTTTTCATATATTTTTTTCTAATTGTCATATTTCAAAAAAGAAAAACTCTTAGAAATGTGATCTGGTTTATTAGAGAATTTTTAGTGTTTCACTTATCAAAATACACATTTCAAATTTCTGAATGACAGCTTAGCTATTATACCTTGAGAGAAGCCAACATTTAGCATACGTGGTTCATTTAGTAATCTGTTGAATTCTAGAAAAATGGCAGTTAAATATTCACTTGAGATGTTTGTCTTTTAAATGCACCTTCAAAGTACATGATCAGAATAGCAGATACTTCACGAAAGAGTATTTTGTTGTTGGTGGTGGTATTATACCTTTTGGTTATTTTAGATTTTTGACGTATATCTTATTAAGGAAAGGTTAGCCTTTAGTCTGTGAAGATGGTAGTCTTAGCACAGTTTGACGCATATTGCAAAGGTCTCTGCTTGGCTTTCTTGACAGGTGTCAGAGTGACATTGACGAATGTGCAGGGAACCCCTGCCGGAACGGGGCCCTCTGTGAGAATACACACGGCTCCTACCACTGCAACTGCAGCCAGGAGTACAAAGGGAGACACTGTGAGGACGCCGCTCCCAATCTATACGTGTCGACCCCATGGAACATTGGTTTGGCTGAAGGCATAGGAATCATTCTGTTTATAGTAGGGATATTTTTGCTGGTGGTGGTGTTTGTCATCTGCCGCAAGATGATTAGTCAAAGGAAGAAACACCAGGCAGAGCCTGAAGACAAACACTTGGGACCAACTACAGCCTTCTTGCAAAGACCATACTTTGATTCAAAGCTAAATAAGAACATTTATTCAGACATACCACCCCAGGTGCCTGTCCGTCCTATCTCCTACACTCCAAGCATCCCAAGTGACTCTAGAAACAATCTGGACCGCAATTCCTTTGAAGGATCTGCTATACCTGAGCACCCTGAATTCAGCACTTTCAATCCCGAGTCGATGCATGGACACCGGAAGGCGGTGGCTGTCTGCAGTGTGGCTCCAAACTTGCCTCCCCCGCCCCCATCCAACTCTCCTTCTGATAGTGACTCAATCCAGAAGCCCAGCTGGGACTTTGACTATGACAGTAAGAATGGCTTTTTGTTGTTGCATTAAAATGTCACCGAAATCAACTGAGCATTTAGAAGTTTTGTCACAGCTTTCAGTGATTCCAGTCAAACCGTGGAGTCCTGGTTAGAGACTAACATGTCTCGTATCTAAACCCTCATTGTGGGTAAAACCTTTGGGAATGTCTTGAGCACCGCCTGAACCCTCAGAAACCCTATCTAGACATGTCCCAATGAATATTCCAGGAAGATAACTTTAGTTGTGTAATTGTTGCACATTCTCCACTGTGAATTTTTTGGTTTGATATATTAGAAAAAAATATATATGTGATGATTGGAGGAGGGGTATTATTTCTATGTCAAAATTATTTTTAATATGACTGGAAGAAGTGACATTATTCATTTTTATGATCAGACACATATTTGATGTTTTTTTAAAAAGCTGCATGTGCCATTTTCAAACAACATTCTAGTATTTTTTTAATTGGCTAATGATATCTAGAGTCGTGTGGATGGAAAATGTCTGTGGGTCTGAGATCTGTGAGGCTTTTGTCGTTTGAGTCATCCATGTATTGAAGTTCAGGTGGTCGTTTGCTTGGTAACGCTTGCTCTGCATTAGGATACAGTAGTGATTAAATCAAGCCCTGGTTCTCTACGAACTAACCATTTGTCATCTCTTCCTTTAGCTAAAGTGGTGGATCTTGATCCCTGTCTTTCCAAGAAACCTTTAGAAGAGAAGCCTTCCCAGCCGTACAGCGCCCGCGAAAGCCTGTCTGAAGTGCAGTCTCTTAGCTCCTTTCAGTCTGAATCATGTGATGACAATGGTGAGTAAGCGGAGCGGTGATATGCCACTGCTTGCTTGGTGATTGTACACACTACTGCTCGTTAAGGGACATAATTTAGATGCACTTAGACTACTTTGAAACAATACTTTGTACATAAGTTGCATGAACATTTTGCTGGGGAAGTATGTAGAATCTTCTTAATGAGTAGCAACTTGTTGGCAATAGGGAAGAAGATATAATTAATTTAAAGATAATTGCTATCTGATTGCTTAATTTTATTGACTCTTTTTGTATAACAGTAAATGTTATGGGAGTTCCCTGCAATTTCAAAAACCCTTGTAAACAACTCTTTCACACACACACATCAAGAAGAGATGTGATAGTCTGAAATGTTCGGCTTCAGTAGCACCATTGGTATTACAAGGTTTTATTTGTCTCTTCCCTCAACCCCACTGCGGCCCCAGCTCCCATTTGGATCAGAGCGTACTGACTGAGAGCACAGTGTAAGAGATTGCTAGTAAGTTTGATTATATTTCTAATGAAGAAAGTTTGACAATGGGATCTGTGACACCAGTTATGTTTTTGTGATTTCGCCAGGGTAGTTGGCATTAACAACCAGCTTTACCACATTAAAATGTGTAAGCAGAGAAAATTGTCACCATTCAGTAATGTTACAATGTAAGTTTTTAGTGGAGATTTTTGCTCAGAATTAGTTTCACAAGTTGTTTTTTTCTTGCAAACCTATAATGTATTTATATATCCAAATGTTTTGTTGCTGGAAAGAAACAACCCATCTCTACTGATATAATCCACACTAATTAGTGTAGTCTATTATAAAGCATAAACTTCTCCAAACTAAAGATGATAAGTATGTTCTATTGTTTTCTGCTATAAAGTCATATAATCACAGTGTATACTTATATTATATATGGACTACATAGATACTGCCTTGCTTGGTTAACTAAAACAAGAAGATAGAATTACTTCTTTGCAGTTTATGAAATAATTTTATCTTGGCCCCTAAATATTCTTCATAAATGCATTTTTTAATGTTGTTCAATAGTTTCTTTACTGGTTCTGTTTCTTGAAGCAACATTCTTTGTAATAATATCTTAAATACATGTAATATACTGTGTTCAAGTAAATTATGAAAGCTAATCTTCAACAAAAAACAACATACATTCAAAAGTGCTTGTGTTTTACTTGTTATTGTAATTAGTCATTGATCATGAAGTTAGTCTGCAGTTAAACATTTTATTACTAGTTTCTAAGCATGCTGTGGCATACGATCGCAAACTTAATGGCTTAAATCAGCATCCACTTTAGTATCTTACAGTTTCAATTTAGAAGTCCACTGTGACTGAACCACGTAAACTGCTGAGTCAATAGTCTGCCTCCCTTTTTGGAAATCCTAGCGAGGAATCTGTTTCTTTACTTGTCTCAGTTACTGGACATCACAGACATTCTTTGCTTCATGACTTTTTCCATCTTTCAGAGACAGCAACATTACATTCCACGGACCGTTTTTCTACTCGTAGGTCCTCCAAGGACAGCTGGGAAAGAGTGTCCCCTTTCAAAGACCTTTGTTAGTTCATGGAGACTACCCAGCTAATGCGGGAAATCTCCCTCTTTAAGTCCTTAACCCCATCAGCCACGTCACTTTTGCATGTCTAATGTATGCACAGATCCCCAGGATCAGCATGTGGGCATGCCTGCAGGTCAGTCCTCTGCCTGCCGCATGTGTGACAGTGAATGTGGCACTGCAAAACAGGCTGAAACTGAAATGAGGAGTGAGTGTACATGGGAAGCAGACAGTCTGTATTTCTCTGCTGGTCTGTTGGCTCACTGTTAGTCCATCTGCCAAAGACCAGAAATTCAGGGTGGCAGTAACAGCAGGGACAAACTGTTTTTGTCATCATGGTGCATAAGCATCTCTTAAAATGTTTTTTTATGGGGACACCGTATAAGTTCGTTGCATGGACTCAATAGAGTAACTCATCAAGTGTATTACTTTGTTAAGTCTTTCATCCAAGAGATGTTAGGATAAGAATTGTTTTTGTTCTAATACAATCCGTAATTGTAATTGTGAAAAAAATCAGTAGCTAACATTTTTTCCCAAATTCAAAAAAAAAATATTTTCTTTCTTTGACTAATAATAAGTTTAAAGTTCGGTTAGAAACGCACGAACAGTGCAAGGGTCTCTTGTTCCACTGTATGGCTGGATTAAAGCATTAGCTTCACGGTTTTCAAGTTATGAGCTAGCAGATCTTTAGGATGAATGAATTCTGTTTTATGTGCTGATTTCTAACTAACTGAAGATGTTCCTAATTGACTCCTTTTGTACCTTTTTACAAGCTTCCATAGTGACTGTAATACACCTTGTCAATGCTGTAGTTGACACGGTAAATAAAGAAGGTACAGTCGTCAGTGCTCTTGTTCATGTATGTGTTTCCCTGTGGCGGTGGCACTGGAGTACTGTGCTGTGACTTTGAGGGATTTGAGTGCTTTATTTGTCCCTGTGTGTATATTCATAATTCGGATGTGTTACAAAAATATTTCTATGTCAGTCATAGCTCTTTGTTATGTTTTGCCATTCATAGTGATTTATGCAGACATCAGAAGTAACACAGAGGATCTTAAGAACTTGTTTCTATGTGATACCATATTGAGAAATTTGTAAACAATTCTAACTGAGAAAAATTTTCATACAGAAAATTCTGTTTATGTGAGAATAGGGCTGAATTCCACAAAGCTTGTATGATTAGCATACAACTGAATCTGCACCTTTGGTTTTTTCCCTAGATTCGATTAAAGAAAAGGGCAGAATATGGTAGAAGATATATATTCATCTTTGATTTAGTGGGAAATGATTTAATTTCAAGATTGTAAGCAATGACATTAACCATGTCCTTCAAATTACTTTGAATTATATTAGCCATTAATTAGTGCCCCCAAGCCGAGTAAGAACACATGAAAGGCAGCAGGTAGTAGTTTTCAAAGTATAAGGCAGATTAGGTTACCTACAGGGCTGGTTAAAAGCGCAACAGCTGGTGCCCAGCTCCAGATTTTGTGATCACACAGGTCTGCATCCGGCCTTGAGAATTCGCAGTCTTAACCAATTCCCAATTCTGCTGTAGCTGGGCCCACATTTAGAGAATGATGTGCACAGGCCATCAGAGTGTGCAGATGGAAGCTCCAGAAAACAGAGCAGCCTGGCTGGTAGCACCGTGTGTTCTCAGGATCTAAGCAGGAAGGGCAGGGTGCGGTTTCACTGTTCATCATTACAGCTTTAGATAAGGCTTAGCTTCCTGCCCGAGAAATGCCAAGTGTTTGTTTGATGAGTCAGAGATCTCTGTGTTTTGTCTAGTAACTTTTAGTTTTGCCATGATGATATGCCAATGTTTTAAGTATTGATGGGATTTTAAAAAGCAGATTTTAAAACAGCTCCTTCGTTAGTATCTCTTTTCCTAAACATTTCATTTGGCCCATTTCCAAAATAAAAATGGAATTTGAAGTTGAAACCTAGCTAAAGTTTTAAGGATGTGGGATACCTATTATATTTTAAAAAGTTGTACCCTCCCCCTTTACTATAAAAGGGTTTACTGTATTACAAACTTTAAAAATATTATGTTAGATATATATTGTCTCAGTACTGAATTATTCATTTTTAGGACCATCACATATACTCACATCCTCAGAAGAAAACCTTCTATCAAATATTGTATCCCAAATTACTTAATCACCTGATTTTTTTAAAGAACTTTACAGAATGCAGAGAAACCCTGTTTAGAAAATCACTACCATGGCATACTTCCGTGACGATTCTTGCTTTCACGGCCGTCAGTGTTCCCTAACAGCTTGTGTCAGTCTGTTGTACACTGTCCTGTTTAATCCTAATGAAAGCTCTAAAGAATTTGCATCCTTGTTTCAATAAGGGAACCTGGAGTTTAGTGCATCATGTGACCCTATCTGACAGTGACACTTACAATGCAACTGTTTGGTGCTTCAGTGAGAGCCCTGACAAGTCAAGTGTGATTACAGGTTTGGGGAAGAAGGGCAGAGAGGAGGCGTAGTTAATGATCTCCCTAGAGGACACGCGACAGTGTAAATGTAACATCCATTCAAAGGGGGATAAGGTTTGGAAAGATTTTCAGCCTTCAGTGATCTGTGTTTACTTATACATTTCTTCATACTTAATGTACTTTTGAAATTTAAAATAGGCTGTCAAGTAGGTGTGCATTATGCAGCTTTAGATGTCTTTGCATTATTACCTAAGCAACCCGAGGAGTTTACATTGTATTAGAACTTGTAGTTTTTATTTTAGTCACTGTTAAGAGAACTCTGTGTTGAGATTGAGATTTTCATAAATAAGGGGGAAGTAGGAAAATCGGGTTTGAGTTTCTTAGCAGTGTTGTCTCTACTTTATCACCACTCATTGTTTCCTTGCCCTCCCATATCCCCTTTTATTTGTGCGACATAAATTTCTCCCAACCATTGGGAATTCGCTAATGGCTTAAAGACGTGTTCTATGGCTGACTGGGCCTTTGTCAGCAGTGTACATTGGATTGCGTACTGTTTTGCCTCTTCAGCCATCAATCTGTTTTAATTATAAATGTTTTCTTTTCTTCCTACTGTACCACCAAAAGAATCTTTGGCTGCTCCTGACCTCAGCAAACCAAGAGGTGACTTATGCATGCCAGTTGCTCATTGATGATCACTAAACACATGGATGCAGGGTTGGCGCCCCCCTCAAGCCAACTTGCTTCACATGGTTGCTCAGTGTTTGCAGCAGTAACTAAGTACATGGTTGTCTGTGCACTGCCTTGTGAATACATATTGCCTAACCATTTCCTGTCTAGTTAAAGGATTTTTAAAATCCTAAGAAAAAAAAAAACTGTCCCTAAATTGGGAAGTTTTTTTTTTTAAAATCATGATTATTTTACACAATTTAAAGTGATGCAAAGATTAATTGTAGTTTCTCTAAAGTTGTTACATTTTTGAATGCTTGTTTGTGTTTTGCTTGACTGGGAGGCATGCATTGGCACATACCTATTGTGAGAGAATTCATTGTTTCACTGAGGTGAAAGCATGGCCACACCTGCTAATATTAAATGCCTTATTAAAAAGGAAGTGTATGTTGTAAATTTTAGCATGCTGCATAATACTTTTATTTTTTAAAAGTTACCTCAGTGGTTTTTTTTTCCAGTGACATAATGCAATCTTGGGACTTTTGTTATTTTACTCAAGATACAGTCCTCCTTTGTGAAAGGACAGACTTCTGTCTTAATATCTAAAACCTAAAAAAAAAAAAAAGAAGAAGAAGAAACAAAGTGCTTTTCTTCTACTTCTCTTCACCTCGAACAGTGGGTTCTCAATGGCAGAAGTAAAGTGGAAAGGCTGGACAGAATTAATTTGTGGAGAAGTGCATGTGATGTTAGCATTCCATTTCTTAGGCCCCGGTTGTTTCTTTGCAAGTTAGGCACGTCCATAAAGCCAAGTCCATGTTCTAGAAACAGAACCTGGTCCTCAAAACTGGGCCTGGCTGGAGGGGCATCTTCAAAGGCAAACCAGAGGTTTCCAGGGTGCTGAGCATGGAGTGAATGCATCCGTGTGTCTGCATCTTTGTGCCCTTCGCCTTGTGAGCTCGTTCTGCATGGCTCCAAAGCTGGAGGGAAAACTCACTGAAATTGTGTTTCCTTTTCCACGAAGGGTATCACTGGGATACATCGGATTGGATGCCAAGCGTTCCTCTGCCAGACATCCAGGAGTTCCCTAACTACGAGGTGATCGATGAGCAGACACCGCTGTACTCCGCAGACCCGAGTGCCATCGACACAGACTATTATCCCGGTGGTTATGACATCGAGAGTGATTTCCCACCGCCACCGGAAGACTTCCCCGCGCCTGATGAACTTCCCCCCTTACCTCCAGAGTTCAGCGACCAGTTTGAATCCATTCACCCTCCAAGAGACATGCCGGCTGCAGGTAGCTTGGGCTCCTCACCGAGAAACCGGCAGAGGTTCCACCTGAATCAGTACCTGCCCAGTTTCTATCCCACCGATATGCCTGAACCTCAAAAAAAAGGCACTGGTGACAACAGTACTTGTCGAGAACCCTACGTTCCTTACCCTCCAGGGCATCAAAGGAACTTTGAAGCCCCCACTGTAGAAAACATGCCCATGTCTGTGTATGCTTCCACGGCTTCCTGCTCTGACGTGTCAGCGTGCTGTGAAGTGGAGTCCGAGGTCATGATGAGTGACTATGAGAGCGGAGATGATGGCCACTTCGATGAGGTGACGATTCCGCCGCTCGATTCCCAGCAGCATACAGAAGTCTGACACTCAAACTTCCCCGCCCCCCATAAAGTGCCTGGACTTTAACAAACCTAGAGATTATATAAATACTCTCCTGCATTGTTCTTTGTAGCAGTGCTTGAGCGCTTCTTTTCGGTGAGCTAAAATGGGCATGGCTGCACTGAATCACACGCCACTTGACATGTCAGCCATTTCCAGTGTCCTAACCTACTGTAATTGGATGAGACTGTCCTTAGCTGTTTCATTTCTAAACGTCTTCTTTTGTATTTACATCTGTCCATGTTCAAATAATGGAAAAAAAAATCAGTCCCACTGTCTCGTTAGCATGACTCATGTATTTATATAGATTTGATTACTTTAATTTTCCTGTCTTTTCTTTTTTGTAAATTTTATGTACAGATTTGATTTTTTTCATAGTTTGAACTAGGTTTTTAAAAATACATTGTGCATTTGTTTCCAACTGAATCTTGGTGGTGTTAGTATCATTACCTAGCACCCTGATTTTTAAATATAACCAGGGCCTCATTATATGTTGTTTTCCACTGACGTATGACATTTCATTACTACATTTCAATAGTCATTTATTTCCAGTTGTATATAAGATGAGGAAAGATCTGATACATGGACATGTCTTAAATGGGTTGCTTTATTTTAGAATTATAAACATTTTTCATTATTGGAAAGTGTAACGGGGACCTTCTGCATATCTGTGTAGAACCAAAACCACCATGACACAGTTTTTATAGTGTCTGTATATTTGTGATGCAATGGTCTTGTAAAGGTTTTTACTGAAAATTACCATTAGCCAGTCTTTCTTACTGACAATAAATTATTAATAAAATCCTGTTGCTTCATTGCATGTTTTTCTTTTGTGTTCAGGATTCAGTTGATGAGTTGAGAGAGAAAACTGGATGAATAAATGCATGGAAGGATGTATGTAGATGTTTTTGGTCTTGTGTCTGAAGGTAAATCAAAGCCAAACCATGTTGTATTTACAGCTATAACCACCAGGTGGCAGAGTGTGGCTATTTGATGTGGGTCAAAACTAGACAGGAGGGTAAATAGCCAAACATTTGTGTAATATTTTCTAATTGAAACTTAAAGAAAGATTTCCGTTTTGTAGCTTCACAGTTATCATGATTTAATTGCCATAGTTTATACGCCTTTTTTGTCAATATTTCTATCAGAAAGTCTTGGAGTAGTATCCCACATCAGAGGATTGGGTTTGGGTTCCTTCTCTGGCTCCTGATTCCATCTTCCTGCTAGGAGGGATCCTGGGAGGAGGCAATGATGAACCGAGTGATTGGGAGATGTGGGTAGACTGTTCAGGTCCAACCCTGGTCATTGCAGGCACTGGAGGAGTGAAGCCCGACAGATTGGCATTTGTGCTCTCTCTCCATGTATCTTTCTCTACTTCCCCTTCATGTAAAATCCATAAATGATAATTTTATGCTGTTTACTCAAGCCACATATTCATTGAATGAATATATTTTTGAATATATCCTGGCATTGGAGTAAAGGCCTACAGATAATGAGGGGGGACATAATGTGTGTCTCTGGAGATGCACATTGCAGCAGGGTCCTGGGACTGGTGTGTGAATAGAAGACGGTGACCTGCCATGAAAAATGCTCTGGGACTTGTTTACAACTATCAAGTAATCTGCCCGTTCCTTCCTTTCGTCTTGGTCACTTGTCCCATGGAGCCCTTCTTCCAGGTGACCCCCTCCAGTCGGTTGCTTCCTTGAACACCGGCACAGCTGTTGGTCTGGTGATTTCCGTTTGTTATCATCTCATTAATCCTTGCCACAGACTTCATGACTTTTCTTTCAACTCAGCTCTTGTTTTCATGATGTGCATTATTTCCTGAGAAAGCATGAACGGGAAGTTATTTTGTGATATTTCTGGAAATGTCTATTGTACTGTCATGCTTAATGAACTGTGTGAGCATAGATTTCTGCTTAGTAGACAAATGTCATTCTTAATTTTGAAATCATTAAACTATTATGCTCTAAACTTCCCTTGCTACTATTGAATTGTCCATATCTTTTCCTAACTTTCTTATTGGTGACCTAATTTTACAGTTCTCACAGATCTTGTGGGACAGTAAAGATTTAAGATGTCTGGATAATGTGTCTTGGTGTGAGGCTTTTCCGTTGCATTGATCTTTAGCTTCAATTCGGGAAGCCAAGACCTTGGGGAACACTCCTGTGTTGCATCAAAGTCAACTTCTTTGCCTCTTTTTTTCTGAGTTCTCTGAGTCTCCTAACTATAGGCTGTCTGACCTGCTAAGTCAATCTTCTGAGTTTTTTTTTTAATTGACTTCCTACATTCATTCTTGGTCTAGTCCCCTTCCTAAGATTCATTCCGTATATTTTTCCATGCCTTCTGTTAACATTGTGGTTCAGCTGTTGTGTTTTTTAGCTTTTGAAGTTTTGGTCATGTTCTGAATGCTTCACTTACAGAATGGGTATTTCCCCCCAGTTTCTTGGCTCTCTTGTCTTGGTCTCATCTTTCTAATTGCAGTCCTTGGAATCTTCCTGTTGTGTCTGGTTCTCCTTCAAGCTGCATCTTAATATTCCTTTTGATTGGCTGTGGTCTTTTTTTCTTTCCCCTTTGGAAGCTCTTCTCTTATTTAGTGAGGCACTCAGGTGGATGGTAAGCTCCCAGGGGTGGTCGTGAATCTGTGGGCCATCCTTTGACCTCTGGGATTGTCACCTAGGACTGTTTGAAGATAATCCACATGCATCTCCATACTGTGCACCTGATTCTTCACCCATTTCCAGGGTGCCTATTAAGTGTCTTGTTTCTATTCTCTAGGCTGCGACAGCTGAGAGCCTTTGTCTGCTGAGACATGGCTTATCACTCCCCCACATGCTGCCAGCCTTGGGCTGTCCTAGGGTTCGGGGTTAGCATAGCACATCTTGATTACAGTGGAGTTTCTTTTTAACCTTCTTCTCCACCCACCCCTTTTCTTGGTTTGAAATGGGTTTTTTAATCACATTTTGCTTAATTTCTGTTAGAAATTGTATTGTGGGCCCGGTGCCATGGCTCAATGGCTACATCCTCACCTTGCAAGTGCCAAGTCCCATATGGGTGCCTATTCATGTGCTGGATACTCTACTTCCCATCTAGCTCCCTGCTTGTGTCCTGGGAAAGCAGTAGAGGACGGCCCAAAGCCTTGGGACCCTGCAAACCCATGTGGGAGATCCAGAGGAGGCTCCTGCCACCTGGCTTCAGATCGGCACATTTCTGGCCATTGTGGCCATTTGGGAAGTGAACCAGTGGTTGGATGATCTTTGTCTAGCTCTCCTGTGGGTAAGTCCAATCTGCCTTTCCAATAATAATAAACAAAATCTTTTTTTAAAAGTGTTAGATTTTTCAAGAGGAGATAGAAATGTCATGTTCTGCTCCCTTAAACTGGAGGTCTGGGAAATTCTCTTGGCCCTTAGTTTGAAGTGTTTGGAAGAACATGGATATATTGTCTTTTGGTTGCCATGTAAGACATTCTCATAGAGTTGGTAGCTTGCAGTGACTCATTACTTGTCTTGCTGTGTGTCGGAGGCCCAGGCTTGCATGACTTGGCTGGTCTCTACTCAGAATCCAAGAATGTGAAATCAAGTTGTCATCTGAGCTGTGTCGTGTGGGACCCAGGGCCTCATTCAAGCTCCATGAAGCTGCTCCCAGAGTTCACTTGTTTACAGTTCTACAATGCAGGTCTTGTTTTCTAGCTGCCTCTAAGACTAAGGTTCCCCCTTTCTTACTGTCTTTACTTTCTGAACAGCTGCTGCTTCCCTCAGTTCATAGCTCCTTGGCCTACTCACTGCTTGGTACCTTAGACCTTCAAAACCAGCTTCCATTCTCAATGACCTCAGGAAAGTCTCCCTCCCCCCACGCCCCTTTTCTTAAGGGCTCCCTGGGTGAAGTCAGAGTGCCCACCCAGAAGCTTCACAGTCTCCCTTCTGACTAACAGCTAGTTGGCCAGCAGCCTATTGGGGGATCCCACCACGTTCTAAATCACATCCATACTAGCTTGGGGGCCAGATATGCATGTTCCCTGCAGGTGGGGTTCTTAGGGCCGCTCTTAGAGCTTAGCTGCCACACTTGGCACTATTGCTTTTTTTGCGGGTTGGCAGGCGCTTCTCAACCATCAACTGAAAATAATAACTATTTATATCTTTTAAATGATAGTGTCACATCTTCCATTAGCTGGAAATGACTCAACAGTTTATGTGGACTCTCAACATCAGTCTTCCAAAGGATGCATTGACATACAACAAACATACAACAAACAATATGAATTCGCACAAACACTTGGAGAACAGAAGAGCACAAGTACCCACAAAGGGTTAGAGAATGCTTTTCAGTGTCTTTTCCTAAAAGCCTTTTATCTGCACACCCCTTGACAGGCAGAGGGAGTGATCTGTCAAGCGTTCTGCTCAGGGTTTCTCTGCGTCTTGTCTGCTTGGTGCCCCTCAGCGTGCCCTTGAAAGCTGAGGTGCCGCTAAGCATCCTGCGACTTCCGTCATACTGCACCTGTGACTCCCCGGAGTGGGGAGAGAGATGCACTACATCTGAAGACCACTGCTGCCTGTCGCAGACCATTCCTGACTGAAATTGCTCCTCTTCATTTTGCCTCTTAAAATGTAGGTGTGGTTGCTTGTTTTTTAACCCTTCTGATGGGATGAATACATTTACTTCATATGTTATGCTGGTCACATTCATGTTGTCATAGAGTATGTGATGCTGTCGTACCGGCCTGTTGAAAGCCAGAGAGGTGTGCTTTCCTACCGCCTGGGAGCTCCTGAAGCTGAGCTTTGGTGGGCTTTTATTAATGTGTGAAAGCAGAACACTGGGTGCCACCTAAGCATCAGTGGGCCTCTCCAGAGGAACTGAGCATTATGCTGGGGAATGGGTGACTAACTCCAGAAAAACAGCCCTTGTTGATACAAGTGACATGAACTCCAAAGCATATAGCTGCTTTCTATGAAAATGCTGGGTTAACTTAGTGCTATGCATTGCCAAAGTGTACCCATGTGGAAGTTCACTATTTTACCACTGTTATTGGGTCATTAAAATCCCAGATGGCAGCCAACCAAGCACCAGGGATCAGGAGAAATCTTGATTATTTGTGTTCTTGTGACATCAGAGAGTAAGGAAAGATGGCAATAGACCATGCTGTGAAATGCCATCACTCGCATAATTGCTGGGAAGTTCTACCTTTTAAAATTTTTGCAGTTTTTTTTTCCAGAAAAATGCCATTTCGAAGTAATACATAATATGTCATAGTATTGGATTAATGTAAACTTATTTATTTTGCTACCTGAGATGTTTTAAACTTTCCTTAGCAATCCCAGCATTAACATTGCGTGTTTGTTTTGTTCTTCTTCAGAACCAATGTTTAGGTGCACGGATTATTCGTTTTCATGATATTACATGTAACATGACAGCATTCCAGTGTTGCAATGATGTAAAAGGTAAAAATTTGGTGGACTTCTGAGATTGCGTTAACACTGAGGTTAACTCTGCTGGGATCCTTCTGTGGAGATGCTTCCATTTGTAGAAAATAGCAATACTTGTTTTTCTCAAGATTTGTTCATTTTATTAGGAAGGCAGAGTGATACAGAGGTGGGAAGAAAGAACAGAGAGAGATTTTGTCTGCTGTTTTCCTCTCCAAATGGCCACAACGCTGGGGCTGATACAGGCTGAAGCCGAGAACCCAGAGCTTCATCTGTGTCTCCCAGGTAGGTGGAGGCCCCCAAGCGCTTGGGCCATCTCCATTGGCTGTGTAGGAACACCAGCAAGGAGCGGGATGGGAAGTGGAGCAGCAGAGACTCAAACTGGTG